ATAAAATCAAGATCATACGAACAGATAAAATTATTAATTAAAAATGATTTGTTGCATAGTGATCTGACATTAAGTAGAGCAAGGTTAAAATTAATATCAGTGTCAGTGGGTTTAGTTGATTGATTACAAAGAACTGGAATTAGTTTCCAGAGTTGGACCGTCTAACTGCTGTCCTTCTTTTAAATTTGTGTTTATTCAAGTTAAAACACATTTCTGAGCTGGTGCGAGGAACACACACAGTCTCTATTGGTTTAAAAAGTGAACTCTGTTGTACTTTGTTAAGTTCCAGATGCATAACTGAGTCAGCACAGTTCAGTGGCAGGACTGTCGTTACACTGCCAGACGGACAGGGGTCAGTGTTTGCACCACAGTACTCACCCGGTGCTGGTAAGGAAGAGGAGGGGGGTGGTGGGGGCCGAGAAGCCTCAGATGTAAACAGTCACGCCCCCCTCGGGGAGCACTGAACAACATGGCGCAGGAAGTCCGTCAACAAACTGGTGCCGTATCTGTTCGGGTGCAGACCATCTGGACGATAGGCCACGTGACGCTTCCAGAACAGGCCAAAGTTGTTCACAAAAATAAAGTTAAAAGTGCTGCATGTAGACTGGAGCCACATGTTGAGCGCCACAACGCGACTGTAGAGGCAGTCACACCCGGTTTACAGTCGGGACTGGACCAGAGATAAAAACACACAACCCGGAGGACTGGAGGAGGCGGAACAGATTCATAAAGTGCTTCTTTGTGACCTCTGACTGCTGCAGCTTCATATCATTTATACCCACATGCACGATTACCTTGGATATGGTATCGGGCAGGGAGTGAAGCAGAGGAGGGAGACGGATGAGCAGATCTGGGACTGTAGCTCCGGTAATGCAGTGAGTGACCGCGTTAAAAAAGCGGACGTGCCTCACGATGGAATCTCCAACAATCAGAGTAGTTGGGGCGAAAAGTGGACGCGGCCGCGGAGAAGGCGCTCGGTGTCCATGGCCAGAACCAGCGGGCTCATCCAGGGATGGGTCCGAACCAGGGCGCTGCTGAACACATGGAGAAGAGTGGGGGTGTTGATTCCCAGCTCCGGGCAACCCACGCTGTGTGCACGGAGACGCTGGAGCGGCGAGAGGAGCAGGCTCGGGTCGCTGCTGCTGACCCGGTGAAGGTAAGTGGTGGTGATGCACTGGGGTCAGAGAAGGGGAATGATCACTCTTTCGTCTGAGGACAGCTTCCTTTAAGAGTGTCTTTCTCGCAGTGGACCTGGATCCACGGACAGCAGTAGAGTTTGCTGCAGAGTCCAGGGGTTCTGCTGAGGGGGCTGGTATGTCAGTGGAGAGGGCTGCATAGCGGTTTGACAGGCTCAGGACATGGGCCACGGCGCTGGATGGCTCCTCGCAGTCCGCAGGCTCTTTATTCCGAACCGGGCACTTAGGTGTAGAACAAGAGGGCCCAGAGCTGACAGACCTCTCCCACACGACAGTGTCACAGTATGCAGCGCTCAGTGACATAAGCCGTGAGTGCTGCCCGCCAGCGACATCAAAAAGTTTGGACACGAGTGACTGTTTATCCTGCAGCTCTGCAGTGAGGCGAAGGACTTCTTTACGGAGGTCTGCAATAGTGGCACGGTCCCTCTCACGAAGCTCCAATGTGAGGCGACTAATGTCGTTCGTGGTCATTGCAGTGTCACTTTCCATGTCTGTGGTGCGCTCGTGGTAGCCTCCGAGCTAGCGCGTTTCGATTTGGTCTTTGTGTTAAAAGACGTAATGCTCTGGAACCATTGCATTTAAGATAATAAAACACTAGAGTGTACAAAAGACACTAATACACCGTAAAAACGTGTTTAAAAGGCTTAAAAGGGTAAACAGAGCAGAGACGTCAAAACGCGTGCTCACTCCACACGCGTGGAGGAAGCGCAAGTCCATCACCCATATAATTGTGGTCCTCCATGGTTCTTTTATATAACTGTGGTCTTCCATGGTTATTTCTTCCAACTTGTGAAGGCACAGTGAAAGCAACGATATCAGTAGCTCATGAGAAACAATAACGTGATTCTCGCATCCTTTTTGTCCCTTATCCACCACTGTTTTACAAGATGGCGCATTGACACAGAGAGTACTCTTCTCCAGTGGCGGAGCCAGAGGGGTAGCCAGGGTGGCCACTGCCACCTCTAAAAATTACCTTGCCACCCCCAGTGCCCCCTTTCGGAAGACGGCAATGTAATAATGTGCATATCTTGAGAATCTTCCGCATTTCTTCCGCTGAAACATTTTAATTCCCACTGTTTCCACCGTCTGTGAACGCACCCCGACTCCGGGTTGAGCCGGTGCAGCGTTGTATGCTAGTGCTTTTCATTGGTTGTTGGACTCACATGTGCCCATGGATCTATGTGCCCGAGTCGTGATGAAAACGTAAGTTAGCGACACAAGGCCAACCGTTTGACATAAAGTATTCTTGGGTTTCATTAAACTGGCCAGGAGGGGGCGAATGAGCAGAGGTGGGACAACTGAGTTTTGCTCCCATTGAAAACCATGTAAATCGTGTCTGTTTTGGAGTCAAAAGGCTCCTCATCCTGTGCGGTGTACGGTTCTAAGGGAGTACTAAAAAAATGTTCTCAAACTTTGAATAGCCTTTTTTTGGCGATTACAAGTTTGAAATAAATTTGAGTGCGCTGTCCTTGCTTACTTCATAAATTAACAAGATATATTTGATTGTTATAGGTGAGCCCACATGACTCGATCACATGCAGAATAAGAGTGGAACATGGCATGCTTTTATTATCTTAAAACTGTACAATCAAATTGGCAAAAAAAAGTACAAGTTCCATTCAAACACTATATGTGACAGGAAATTAGTAAAATTATATAAATACCTTACTTAGAGTGAACGGAGTCCATTGTTCATGAATAAAAATTGTTCAGTCTTTAGAAAAATCTTTGCAAGCCCAGTTTAAAAGAACATGTCATCTGCTTTGTGGGGAAAATATGAATCTAAATTAAATTGCTGTTTACTGACACTGTGATTTACTTGATGTCATTGTTTTTTTGTTTTTTTTTCCAGATCATTAATCCACATAGTTTTTCAATTAAGCAAGTCTTTAGTATAATAAGCCTTATCTGAGAATCTTAAAATCCCCATTTCTGAATCTGCACACCACATGCACTCACAATGGCATCACGCTGGTCAAAGAGGCGCAAATGTACGTCAATGCTTAAGGTCACAGAGTCAGATACTGGAGCAGTTTGAGGAGACCTTTAATAATACAAATGTACAAGGCAACACTGACACAGCATCGGAACATGTAGAGGGCCCAAGGGAAGTAGAGGATCCAATCGTTTCAACCTCTACTCAGTCAGTTGTAGAGGACCAGTTATAGGGAACTATGAGCTGAGCTCCCTATGAGTTTAGAGTTCAGTGAGACCCATGAGGCAATGGACACAACTCATATTGATTCAGATGATACTGAAACTCCAACTACAGAGTTTTTGATGACTGACTGGTCTGAGATTTTTGGCCAGTACATTTTTAGTCTCTCTGATGGCACTAACTGCACTTTTGAGCATTTTGTGCGTTTTTCATCCAGAATTATAATAACTAGTAAGATGGAGGGTGTCCACTTTGGACGAACAGATGGGTTGATGTCGAGGCTTAAATCTTTGACCCTCCATGCCAACTTGAACATACTTAAGTTGCAGTTCAATATAGATGGGTTACCACTATTCAGAAGCAGTAGGCTTCCGTTCTGGCCAATCCTCTGGCACTCCTCCAGTCAGAGGATCGCCAACAGTCTCCTGGAACATCTGCAAAAATGGTGGACTGTCTCTATGGTACCTTAGATATCATTGCTGCCTTTCCTTATGAGCACTATTTGGCCCAACTGAAATGTTTACTGTGCAAACCTTATTTGCCTTTACAGAAAATAGTTAAAAGGCTTTCTGAAAGAGACCCTCAGATACCCCAAATCAACAAAGGCCACAAATTCACGCACCTCCATCATGATGGTCCATTGGGGCCTCATTTGGGACATGGGGATCAGTATAGAAAGGTTGTAACTAAACATTTCACCTTGTCATGCAGGTTTGGGGATAATTGCATCCAGATAGTTGAGGACATCGCTCTTGTTGACAACATAGTAAAAGTAGCTGAGGAAACAAATGTGATCTTCCGGAAATTAACAAAGAAGGAATCTTATGTCCAATACCCCTTCGAATCAGCCAACATTGGCGGCTACAAAGTGTGGGACTTGAGCAGCGGTGTCAGTGTTGTAAAGCTCCAAATAATAAAAAAACAAATATATACTTTTCCCCGATAAAAAATAGTTCATAGCCGTTCCCCTCATAAATACAAAGTAAATATTTTTTGTTAAAAAATCATAAAAAGCAGTTCATAAAAATCAAAAATCAGTTCATAAAAATTATCAGTTAATTAATCAGTTCATGTGTTAATAACCAACCATTATCTTTACCATAATAAAAATAGCATGAAGCAGTGGTGCCTTGTAAGGTTCAACAGTGGTGGAACAGAAGTGGTGCCACACATGGCTTCTGGGGGAGAAGGTTTTCTGGCCTCCATACCCTCCAAAGGAGTCTGGCAAGGTCCGTGCTGCCATGAGGAGGAGGGAGAGACCAGATGAAAATTGGCAGAGTTAGGAGCCTGTCAGGGTCCTCATAAGCCGAGGTGGGTATTTTTATATATATTGACATTTTATCATAGCCCTTTGTATCAGTATATCATAACAACTGTGTCTGCAGATACTTTTGAGAAAGCTGAGAAATGCCTGGAGAGATGTGAAGGAGGAGTGCCAACAGCCTCTAAAAAGGAGAAAGAAGTAATAATTTCCAACTTCATAGTGCAAAGTTGTTGAATTGTATGTTCACATGGCCATACTCAGAAATATATTTGTTTGCTGTAACATCGGAATAGTTGACATTTTGAATATTTCAGTAACTACAAATGTAAATAATGCAGTGTATTTATAGTTTGTCCATGTTCACCAATCTACCAAAATGTGAATGACTCTGAGGAAGATCAACCTCGAAGTAAATATCTCCGAGCTCCAAAAATGTTGTTCCCAGGTACAGCATAGTAGGTGTTACGGTTGTGTTCCCTGTTCTCCTCCCATTGTCTACCTCTGCTCAAGCCCTCCTTACACTGACAGACTTTGGAAACCTCTCTGTCATACACACAAACAAATCACCCTTTAATACATCCCATACAAAAATGTCTGTTTTGGAACATCTTTATCAATCTCAGTTAAATTCAGACTTGACCTTTTGAAAAACCTACATACATAACATTACTTCATCTTTGAAAAAGAGCCTTTTTAAACTGATTACTTAATAGTTACTTTTTTATTTTGATAGGTGGCCCGCTTCACAGTTATTGGGGGGACCACCCTGGAGAGCATGGTCCGGCGCATGCTGGCATACAGCATGACCAATGAGCTGGCCTCAGGCCTAAACTGGGCTGGCAAGAAGAACAAGGATGTGGCCAAACAGAAGCGGCCCTTTAAAGAAATGGCTCTCTGCAAATGCAAGTTTGGTAAGTCATTCTCCTTGCAGGCATTCATTGTTCATTGCACATCAAACTTTACATATAGAGAGGCATTACTCACCCTCTGCCGATCGTTTAAGAGAAGCTTTTTGTATCTTTGGAATAAACCCGCTGACGTTTGTCCGTGAAACGTTTGTAACAGGGCGGATGGTAGAAGGGTAGCTTCTCCAGGTCCGAGTATTCAACATCAAGGAGGTGTGATAGCGGTTTAATAGCATCTCCCTCTTTGCCATGTACCAACAACCACTCTTTAGCAATATTCCTAAAAGTATCCCATCAAGTATCCCATTATTAAATGGTTACCTGTGTAACCATTTAATGTATGTAGATGACCTTGTACTGTTAAATATCTGTTCCCAATATGGCATAGAGCATGACATAAAGTACAATGCCTCTGAAAGTCAAATCCTGATTGTAAAAACAAAGGAGGATACAAAACTAGTGTTCCCTGACTTCCTCCTATGTGGCGATACTCTCAAACCCACAGAGGAGGTGAAGTATCTTGGACACTACATAACCTCTGACCTCTCTGACGATAGAGACATGTATCGACAGCAGTGTAAACTCTATGGCCAGGCTAATATGCTCGCTCGGAAGTTTCACATGTGCTCTAGAAATGTTAGAGTTCATATTTTCAAGGCTTTCTGTTCGCCCTTGTATACTGCACAGCTCTGGCGTAGGTATAAGAAAGAGTATGCACAGTCGAAATGTAGCTCACAATGACTCTCTGAGGATCCGGTTGAAAGTGCCCAGGTTTTGTAGCGCCAGTGAAATGTTTATAAATTGTGGTGCGAAGTCATGTGTTGTCTCCATCAGATATTGTATTTACTCTTTTATGTGCAGAGCCGTGAGTCTGTCAAACCAGATCATCCATGCTCTGGTCTGTCCTAGGAGGAGCTCTGTTAGGTTCTCCTCTGACATATGGAGGCATTGGAGGTCCTGCCTGTACACCTGTTGCTTTTAGTTATCATATACGTATGTTTTTTTTGTTTTTAATCTATGAACCAGTTTTCTGTGTTCTTAATAAAGAATGAATTGAATAACCTGAGTTATCACACTTTTTGATTCACTACAGTTATCCAATATAAGCATACAACACGCTGTTTCTTCAGACCCATGCTGCCTCTTGCGACTGGGAGCCGCCATCTTTGTTGACAAACACACTGATAGATAAAATAGTTCGAATTTCAGTTGATGCTAGCAAAAAATATGACAAGGATTCTTCGTGGGGAAACTTCAAATTGGGTTCATTTTGTTATAAGCTTTCAGAAAACGTTGAAAACCCATATTTCCCATGATGATGGAACGAAAGTTAATTTTATAGCATCTAGCACATGGCCTAAATCTTCAGGGCTTTCTTTTGCAAAACAACTAAGGGCTGCAAGTGAGATTTTTAACAATTCCCTCACACCTCAACACAATAGTTCAAATAAGACATAATGAATGAGCGATAAAAAAACAACAGAGCATTGATATTAATTAAATGACTTGATCTTCTCAACATTCGAACACATTTTGCAACTTTCGTCCTTAAGTAACTTATGTGAGGTTTCCTAGTCAGATTCTCGTATATTATAACTCCTAAAAATAAATTTTCTTTAACATGTTCAATTGGTGTCTCATCAATAACTATTCTGAATGGTATATTGCTTTTACAATTTCCAAAAAAAGCATAATTTTGTTTTTAAATTCAAGGACAGTTTGTGTCAAACCACATTTTCAATTTGTTCATCTCCACTGATACGCCTGCACATGTGATGGTGTCGTCGACAAAGAGGATACATTCCATGAAAGGTGATACTTTGCATATTTCGTTGATGTACATTAGGAATTAGGTGGGTCCTAAAATTGATCCTTGTGGCACCCCACAAGTTATGTCCCTAAAACTTGACCTATGTTTATCAAACTACAAGTTGTTGCCTCCCATTCAGGTCACTCTGTAACCACTGCATTGCTGTCCCCCTTATGCCATAATTTTGCTAATTCATATGTGATGGTCAATTGTGTCAAATGATTTTTGTAGATTGATAAAAAACACTATCAATTTTTTTTATTTCTATACCATTAGTTATTTCTTCTACAAGGTCAGTTTAAGCAAGTGACGGATCTATTTTTCCTAAAGCCATATTGACCATCACATAGTAAATTATAGTTGTCGATAAAGTTGCAAAGTCTATTTTCAAACAATTTTTTGAATATCTTTGAAAACTGTGGCAGAAGGGAGACAGGCTGATAATTATTAAAGCTGTGTTTGTTTCCAGATTTGAATATTAAGATTTTAGCATTTTTCATTTGGGAGGGAAAGTGACCAAGTTGAAATGATAGATTGCAGATTCCTGCGAGTGGTTTAATGATCTCTTTAGCTGTATTTCGTACAATTTTCATATTAATCTTGTCTATCTTTTGAAGTTGATAATTGATAGTTGATAATGCTTAAGGACTTCCTCCTCATCGGTGGGAGTGAGGAGCAATGATCTGGATTTTCTCAGTAAGAATCAGTATAGATAATAAAGCATAAACTACCAAATTAACCGAAAAAAGAGAGCCCAACATATATTTGTTTTCATATATAAAACAAGTGTGATTTTCCTTCATGCAGTACCACCTGCGGCCGCCGCAGCGAGTGTCGCTGTGTCGCTCTTTAAACTCCTCACACACTTCCACACAGGGCGGATACACTGTACTGTAGCATCTTCTGATTTTGATGCTGTTTCTCTCAAATCTGTGCTTTACCCTCACATTTATTCAGCCTGACAGTGGGATCTAACCCCCACCTCACACTCACCCACATTGTACTGACATCTGCTGCTGAAAATCTTCTTTAAAATGGCAGAAACCACAGGTAAGACAGTGGATGCTTCGCGTTAGCCACTTAGCATTCCCAAGTCAAACAGAGCTAACATGTTGTTTTATGGACACGTTAATGACAAACTATAGAAATGAAACCTAAGAATGTCTCTCCCATGCATAAGCGAGTCCTTAACTTACATGTTATCTCACATCTGTCTTAGTTTATGTGTAAAGGTGAACTCCTTTAGCATGAAGCATTGGGTTAGCATGTAAGCAGCTAACAGCTAAGTAGTTTTATTCAAAAACATAAAGTCGTAAATCTTAAAATTTCGAATGTTATTTTTTCCCTGTCAAAATGTAGAAGTGGGGATCTAGTCTTGGATTGAGTCTGGACCTCAGTCTGCATGACTGTATGCGCTGATTTTTTTATTAAAGGTATGTTTTTATGTCAGAAATGTCAGATTTGTTGTAACGTCTTTGGATCGGATGCCCCACGTGACGTAAACAAACGAGTTTCTCTGGTTCTCCTCTTTTGAATAGATGAGTTTTATATATAATCAGAATGTCAGCGTGACCTTTTTATATTCAAGTTAATTCATTTTATAGCTGGGGTAATTACATTTTCAAACCACAATTAACGGAACGATGCCATAAAAGCCATGTCGCTGGTTCCGGTTGTAAATCTACTAGTTTTCACATGCATGTATTTTAGCCCCCTTCACATTTTTAGATTTGCAGAAAAGTGAAAATGAAAGGACCACCCTCTCAGTCAATCAGCTCTTGGCTCAAAGCGGCAAATAATGACTCACAGGGCTCTTACTTACACAAAATTGTCTATCTTTCTAATCAGTTGAAGACAGCATGTTTGTTGAAGACTCTTTCTGTTAGCACAAACTGGGTGTTCTGTATGAAGAACAAGTTACATACCCCAGCTTTACATGAATTCAGCCTGGTTCTAGTATTGTTTGGTTACATTGCATTTTATAAGTGTGGGGGGTTGAAGTTCCAACTCAATAAAATGGATACATTCCCACTTTGACCTATGTGTAGGGTTTGCATGTTTTCCCCATGCCTGCAAGGGTTTGCTCCGGGCGCTCCGGTTTCCCCCACAACCCAAAAATCACTATCATCTCAGAGAGGTGTCAGAGAAGGATGGGTCACCTGCTTTTCCTGTATGTGGACAAGAACTTAACTTTCTCAAAGGCTCAAACTCTGCTCTAGTTGGCTGTGTTTCCTTTTACATCACATTAGTCCAGTTCTGGCTTTCTGTGGCTCAGAGAATAGACTTTAAAGCAGCTCTGCTCTCTCTATGTCCTGTTAGTGCAATAAGTAGTGATGGGTTGATGAAGCTTCATGAAGTGTTGAACCTTTTCATCCATTGGTTCGAGAAAAGGTTCATTTCTTGATGCTTCATATGCTCACAAACCTCCTGTTGGTCAAAATCTGTATTGACAATTGAACTGTTTGTGAGGCTCTTGGTGCATAGGAATTAATACTGGTAACAGAAGTAATTTGATTGTGTATGACCCATTAATTAATCTGTTTCATTATGATCAATATCAGTAGTGAAAATGAATATATTTTAAATGAAAATAAAATTATAATGTACTGGTAACTGATACAGTTGTCTGCTCTAATACACACACACACACACATATATATATGTAGATATATAATTATATACATATTTAATGATGAATGATTATAGCTTGTCAAGTCAAAATCAATGTTATAAATCCAATAGGACAAAAAACAAAACATGTTGAAAGTGTAAGTGCTTTTCAAAGGACGTGAGACAAATGGGGATATCAATTGGAATTGTGACCCCATCAGTTGTTTAAAACCAAAACATTTCTGACAAAATTCTTTCATGTCAACGTGCTCCCTGTGAGATTCGATCCCCGGTCCCCCAGGTCCAAGCCCTGCTTCCCTATCAATTGAGCCAACCAGCTGATACTGTAGTACTCTCCATCACTGACTAAATTAATCACCAAGACAAACACACAGTTTAAGCGGATCTTCTGCAGTACTTCATGAATCGCTCCATTTCCTGTGCTCCCGAGGCTTCAAACGTCATTGGTGACGTCATTCATCTAAAACAACTCAGGCTTCGGCCCGCGCTCCGATAAAAACTTCAGGGATTTCTCGGCTCACGCCCCGAAGCACCGACGCGGCACGACCCATCACTAGCAATAAGAACCAACTCAGACTCTGAGGAGCACAGGGACTGGCTCCTTGCTGGTGCGCAGAGTCAGGACTAAATTTGGGAGGCACCTTTCAGATTCAAGCGGCTAAAATATGGAACAGTCTTCCTGAAAATGTGAGACTGTGATGACTTCCAATTTGTCCATATCAGTTTAAAAATAGTTCTGTTTTGCTGTGCATACAACTGAGTGATTGTGTCTTAACTCCTTTTGATGTACTGTGATTAATCTTTATTTATATACCGCCTTTCACAGACCAGTCACAAAGCGGTTTACAATTATTATTTATTGGCATTTGTCCTCTCACTCCACATTGATGGGAGCGCGGTCGCCAGTACAGGAGGCGCATGCCAGACCTATTGTACATATTTTTAGTAGTAGGGGAAACCGGAGACCTACGCAGACACGGGGAGAACATGCAAACTTGAACCCAGGACCTTCTTGCCGAGAGGCGAGAGTGCTATCCACTCAGCCACAGTGCCGCCCAATTATTTATGATTTTAATGCCTTCTGTGATTCTTTTTTTTGCCTTTGCCTAATTTTTTTCAAACTGAACCATGTTTGCTCTTACAGAACAGAACGAGGGCAAACACGACGGCTCATCTCCAGGAGCGACGGACCAAGAAAAGGAGATGGCATCCAGCGCTTACGACGCCTTTGTGGTGAGTGCTGTGAGCTAAAGCTTCAAATATTTCCACATTATTGTGGAATTGTAACAGGGACAGAAGTTGAGAGCAGGAGTGTGTGTGTAAAAGTAGTGTGTGAGCTGTGGTTTGTGCTTCAGGCGGGGAAATACCAGGAGTCTCTGAAGCAGCTGGACACGCTGCAGGAGCAGAACAAGGACGATTACAAAGTCCCCATGAACCGCGCTGTGGTCGAGTTCTACAAGAGCGGACAGACCACCACTGGCATGCTCAAACAGACACTGCTGATGCTGAGGAACCAGGTATATATACACACAAAGATGCACATACACACACAGACGCCCACAAATACATTCATTAAGAGTTCCGAGCTTCCGGCTTGACCGCACAGCATTGTGGGTAGTTTTCTCAAAAAGGTGGGCATCAAATCACCCTGCTATATTGGATTACATGTTATGAACGTGAACTTTCTCTCTTGTTTCCAGCCCATAGATTTTTTCTTTAATAGTTTAAAAATTCACCAATTTCAGACATTTCAAAGGTAAGGTAAAGATTTTTTTATTTAACAAAAAGGCAATGCATTTTTTTCTTGTGGTTTTAGATGTAAACACAACCGACTGGCTATAGAGATATAAGTAGCTTATGCTACGTACGAGGATCGAATGCTTACACGCAAGCTTTATAAACTTACCCAAAGCTGCACTTTGGACATATTTGGTGTGGAGCTTCTGAATGTAGAGAAGGCCAAATACCTGGGGCTCGTAATCAGGAGTGACCTCAGTGATGACGATGACATTCAGAGGCAGTACTGTGAGCTGTGTGGACAGGCTAACACTTCAGCACGGAGATTTCACATGTGTACAGAGAAAGTGAAAATAACTTTGTTTAAAGCCTACTGCACACCTCTCTACACTGCCAGCTCACTGTTTGTTCTTAATAATGTCCCCACTCTGAATGCTCTGATCACAAATGTTATTTATCCTCGTAAGCTACTTGTAGCTCTATAGTCAGTCGGTTGTGTTTACATCTAAAACCACACGGGAAAAAAAAGTCTAGTAAAATGTTGTGAAAAAATCAGACCACAACCTACTGTCTTTCATCTTTTATTTTAGAAAGAGCCTTGTGAGTCACTATTTGACTCGTTGGGCTGAGCGCTGATTGGCTGAGTGAGGGTGGTCCTTTTTTTTCCCTTTTCCCTTGGAAAATGTTGATGTCACAGAGACAAACACTGCTAGAAGCTGTTATCAACTGTTTTAGAGCCAGGAAGGAACATGGATTTTACTACAGAGTTTCTGTCTTTGTGGTGTGAAAGTTACGCATCTGAGTTTTAAGATATTCCAAAAAGTTGACCGTGTGAAATGTTCCAGATGCCCTCTTCAGCGGAAGACGTGGACGGTCTGGACGATGTGGAGAACTGTATGCTCTACTACAATCAGGCCATCGTGCTCTACCACCTGCGGCAGTACGCGGAGGCCATCGCCATCGCCGAGCGTCTCTACCAGTTCCTCGAGCCCTTTGGTACTTTAGTCCTGCTTTAGTCCTGCTTTTGTCCTGCTTTAGTCCTGCTCTAAGCCTAGTGTATACTTGCGCGGCATGGCTTACGTTAGCGGTTGCGGTGGACCTACGTAAGCACAATTGATGTTATACTGGCGCGTTCCCCTTACGGAGTTTTGAGGAGAATGTTGTAATCCCACAACAAACCACATGAGGGCGATCACACAGGAGCGGTCCCATTTACGCTGCTACTTTGTCCTCTTCAGAACAACAATAGCAAACAAAGCTGTTTGAGCTCATTACACGTGTTTCTACTGTAGGTTTATGTGATAGTTTTATGGATTCATTATTTTATAAGTCATTTCAACTGTGATGCTGTGAATAAAGACACAGTTCGTGTTGGAAACATAGTTATTATTAAATAGTTTTCAGCACAAACAGCAAAACAATAATAGTGGTAAATATCTGAGACAAACATGAACGATTTACGAGTGCAGGAGGAAAGCAACAAACGCAGCTACGATTCAAACAAGACAGGAACAGTGCAAAACAAACGACTGCACAGTTTATAAGTTATATATATGTTAGATATAAGTTATATATATGTTAGATATAAGTTATATATATGTTAGATAGTCCGCTGTCTCCTGTATCAGGCTCTGAGCCCAAACTGCTTTTCCTTCGAAGCACAAAGCTCTCTGCTCCATAGTGCCTCGTCCATGTCCCTGCTGCAGCCGCTCCGTGCTTCTTTCCAATACACACACACGGACCAATCAAAGCGGAGCTTCCTTGCGGCGACCCTTACGTAGTTAGAACATTTCGATGCTGCGCGGCAGGCAACGTAAGGGCCTTGCGGTGACCAACGCGTTGCGCAAGTGACGTCACGTCACCTCCGTAAGCTCCGCGCCGCGCGAGTATAAACTAGGCTTAAGTCCTGCTTCACTCCCTGGTTCAGTCAATGGCCCAATCCCAATACCCACACTGCACCCTACACTCTTCTACCAAGTGTGCATTTGTTTGAAGTGCACGCAAGGGTTTGAGTGTGCAGGTTACAGGTGTGCAAAAAGGCGGAATTGGGACAGTGCACACTGAGTGCAGGTTACGTCATCGACTCGTCAGAGATGGTCATTTTCAGATCTAAACTTTATACAAATTAAATTTTGTCTGACCCTGTGGGAAACAAAATGAGTTGCTTCACACACGTTAAAATAAATGTATACTGGTTATTTGTAATTTGAGTTAGCTGTATGATTTTAAGTTAAATGTGGGTAACTAACTGTTATCTGGTAAGTTTTTATAAATCCTAAGTTCATTGTACTAAGTCTAAAGTTTAAATTGAATTTTATATGAACGCTTGCTTTAAAAAGTTATTAAATTGTTAGAATACAATGTCCGTAATTCTTCATCAGACGTTTATGCTTCTTTCCAAGAAACGTAGAAAGACATATTTACACACATACAGCATATATATTTTAAAACGTACGCTTAAATGCATTTTCCCGACGTTTTGGTGTGTACCGCAAAGAATTATGGGCAATATCCTTCGCCAGAGTGCGCATAGATGCAGGCTACGGCAAAGTGTGGATCAGGGGCGCAAAGGGGGCGGGGCCAAAGACCTCCCTGGAGAATTGGGACACCCTACGCACTCGCACCCATCATCGGGAACGTGCAAATGAGGGGCGCGAGGGTGGAAGTACGAGCATTGGGACTGGGCCATAGTCAACTTTATTTGTGTAGCACTCTTACAACACCAGCTGCCCAAAGTGCTTCACATGCCCAAAAGAAAAAAAGTCGTGCTTTAGTCCAGTTCTTGTCCTGCTTTAGTTCTGCTTTAGATCTGTTTTGGACCTACTTTAGATCTACTTTAGGCCTGCTTTAGACCTGCTTCGGACCTGCTGTAGACCTGCTTCAATTTCTGCTCTTGTCCTGTGTTGTGACGCTGTTCTTTGTTCAAACAGAGAAGTTCGCTCTCTCCGTGAGTTTTCTGCTGGTGGATCTCTATCTGCTCACTTTTCAGCCGGAGAGAGCGCTGCACCTGCTCACTGTTCTGGAGAAACACAGCGTCCAGGGAGGAGGCAAGAACGGCAAAGAGGTGACACAAACGCACACAGAGACAAGTACGCACACTGACACAAACGCACACAGACACAAACGCACACAGAGACAAGTACGCACACAGACATAGCACTCAAACGGAAACTAAAAGATTCCATCAATGCACCACCCAGCACATTCCATTCATAACAGAGGGTGGTGTATTTCTATGGGATGGCCACACTGAATGAGTTTATAAAGTAGTTATTCAAAATGGAATCCTCCTCCAATCCAATTTAATCCCTTGGTTCATATGACACTAACATGTAGAGTGGATCCTCATGAGACATTGGGCAGTGACACATGTAAGAGCACAGAGAAGAGTCTGTATTTGGACACATGTTGAAGACTCGCTCATGTCGTTTGGGATCCACACAGTCTGTCGCTGCACATGTCTTTGTTTCATAAAAAACAAACTTAACAGGAAGCATGATGCGTTTTTAAGAGCGCTAAAGAAACTCAGTGATTCAGCAGCTGAGGGTGAAAATGCCTGAAGTAACCCATGATGAGTGATTACACTTCCGGCTGTGTTCTTATAATGTACCTATGATAGCCGCAGCATTTACAATTACACTTACTTGTATTCACAGAAGAGAGCACATTACCCTGTTTTAGGGGGCTCCCTGTGTATTTTAGAATTTTTTTGTTACAGCTCATTTAGGCTTTGCATCAAGCTACATTTCTGAACTTATAACCTCCAACCTTCACTATTTTATTTACTATTTTTATTGTTGACTGTGCAGGGCTTTGTTTTTTTTAAAGAGCTATACAAATGAAGATTTATTATTATTTATTGATAAAAAGTTTGAGTATTAAGGGAAAGTCAAGAGACACCTTCGAAAGAATCCTTGGGTCTGGGGCTGGGCGATATGGCAAAAAAGTAAAATCTCGATTTTTATTTCCTAATTTGGATGCTTTTGATTTTACATATATTTTAATTACCGTCACCGAAGACAGACTTAAATAATATTTTTTTATCTTTCTGCTCAATATTCAAGTTTCAAAACTATTTTTTATTTGTTTCACCCAATATGTTAGTCTTGTACAGACTGTGCTGATATTGCAAGTATAATTCATCTGCTGCTGGAACTCTCAAAATATCCTTCTTTCTATTTCACAATTTTCACATTTTTCACAAATTGGATTTTTTTCAAAAGCCGATTAATTGCCTAAATTCTATATATTGCCCAGCCCTACTGGGGCCTTGAACGGCTTCTCCACGGCGTGCACAAAGATGAGGCCAAAACTCATCAGACCAGTTTGATACTGGAGCTGTTTTTTAATGTCCTCAGTATTCTTATGGTTTTGAAACCCACTCACTGTCTGCAAAACTAATTTAATTCTGGAAAACAAGATATTCGATAAAAATACAAAGCATGTGTTGAATGTAACATGTAGCAGTTTTTCTTTTGTGGTTTTGGTTTGGCTTCACATTTGTACTGGTCCAAAGGCTGATGCTGTCATGTGATATGTGACAAATCTCTTGTTTTGTTTCTATAGAACCACAATTCAAATAAAGAAGCGGCGAGTCAGAAAGCAGAGTTCGCAGCAATGATGGAGGCGGCAAAGTCCAAAGTGCACCAGGTGAAAAGACCGCTCCTGTCTCCTCAGTTCGAAGTGTATTTTTAAAGGCGACGTATTCTGCAAAATCCATGTTTTCCCCTTGTTAAAACATTCTCCATCAGTCACAGGTCAACACTAATGTCAGGCTTTGGCACAAACATGTAGCTCCGCCCCTTCTGTCCAAAAGCTCCTGAAGAAGATGACATGTCTGGGATCGCGTCTTTAATTCAGACAGAAGACATGTTTTATTGTCGATGGTAGAGACAGCACGAACAACACGAACAACAGAATGCAAGTGTATTATACAGAGCGGAGGCATGGAGACCTCCAATCAGCAGCTGCCACGGTGCCATGTAGCTTGGCCTTCAGATAGACAAAACAAGGGAAAAGTACTGGCTTCTGCACATTGATAGAATGATGAGTTTAACTCTGGTCACACATTCACCTGTGACCATCAGGATCAATAAACGGCAACATAACATCATAACTCAATACTTAAACTCGGTACTTCACTCGGTACTTCAAAAACTCAAACTCATAAAACATTTTCAGATCTTTCATAAAACTCGTCAACAATCTTCAGTAAAATACCAAACTTCATCAGTCGATGGTGGTTCCAGATATTGCTTTGAAAACAGACTCTCCCACTTCTCCGTGTTGATTCTTCAGGCTGCATTTGTGTTGAGCCATGAATTCTTCTGTGACGTGTTATTTCAATCACACGTTTCAGCTTCAGTGTCCAGATTCAGAAATCCAATTCAGTTCAAATTATGTCCGAATTCAGAAAACAAATTGTTCCAAATGATGTCCATGCAAAAGAGGACGATGGTGTTGTCCATGTCTCAGCAGCTCACAGCCTGACTGGAATCAGGGGCTGTGCAGATTGTCCATGTGCTGATCCAGATGCATGGTTTCTCTTGAGGTTTTTCAGTTTTGGCTTGAAAAAAAAAAACACTTGTGTAAAAAAAAAAAGTAGTCTTCTGTTCTCTAGATGTTACAGACAAGGCCCGCATCCTTCCACCACCTGAAGAAGATGACAAAGTCTGGGATCGCGTCTTAAATTCCGACAGAAGATATGTTTTATTGTCGATGGTAGAGACAGCACGAACAACACGAACAACAGAATGCAAGTGTATTATACAGAGCGGAGGCATGGAGACCTCCAATCAGCAGCTGCCACGGTGCCTTGTAGCTTGGCCTTCAGATAGACACAACAAGGGAAAAGTACTGGCTTCTGCACATTGATAGAATGATGAGTTTAACTTTAACAAAAGTTTCTTAAAAGTGTTATGAAATCTCACACTCCTGTCTCAGTTCTGTAAAAGTACTACTATGACAGCACACCCAGTTTTCTGCTCTTTTAAACAAAAGTATTGCCCATAAGAGTTTTGTTAATTTCTCAGATTAAATTACATTCTCTACAATCCCATGTTGTGAGATGGTAATTTACTAATTCGAAAAAAATAAGGTAGCAGCAGGAATTACAGGCAGAAAGCATTTTATACACTAAGACTTGTTTCACCATATTGTTTCTGATTAACAAATATATTTTAATTGTATAACATGAAATGGTCTCAATTGTATTTTTTTTTTTTTTTATCGGCCAAAAAAGCATTCAATGTCTTCTTTTAAAAGTACTTCTCTCACATCTCTTTCCTCAGTACAAAGTGCGAGCGTACATCCAGATGAAATCGTCCAAATCCTGCAAGCGAGAGATCAAGTCTGTCATGAACACGTCTGGAAATGTAAGCTGAGAGTTTAGACCTGCGTCAAATGTGCTGGTACTCGAGTAGTTTGGTTTAGACCTGCTTTAGATGTGGTACTAGACTAGGCAAAGGGTGGGGTAGGTTTTTATTTATATATTTTTTTCATTATTTTTATTATGAGCCTATAGCAGTTGTGTTATGGCATAATAGAGCTATCTTTAGAGTGTATTGGTCACTAAACAGCATCATGAAGTCCACCAGGAAGTTTAAAACATGGTTCGGTCATACAAACATTTCCCAATCTTTGAACATCTCAGATAACTTTTTTAATTCATCATTTGAGACTGGAAAGAGTGGCACAACTGCAAACAAGACACGGACACGTCTGCTCAAACTCCGCTCGAACTAGAATTGGCACTGATCGCAGATGCAGACACGAGACCTATGGTTACTCTAGAGGAGCAGCAGGCAGCCCAGACCCACAGCTCAGGGTCATGCACTACACAAATACTGAAGAGGCAAAGGCTTTTCTGGGGGGATTTTGCATGGAAATTAAATATCTGGAATAAAAAAGAAAACTTAACTCTTGTTTGCAGTTGTTTTTGAGTTCTTCCAGTTTGTAATCTTTGTCCTCTTGTCTCCTCAGTCCGCGCCGTCGCTCTTCCTCAAAAGCAACTTTGAATATTTACGAGGGAACTACAGAAAAGCCGTGAAGCTCCTGAACAGCTCCAACATCGCGGAGCATCCTGGGCCTCTGAAGACAGGTGCCACTCCCAAGAGCCTTAGAATACATGCATAGGCTGTATGCTAACGCTAACCCGCTAGCTCAATGAAACCCGACAGGGAAGTGCTAAAGGACAGCGTACAGAGATAATCATCTCAAAAACACATATGTTCTGTTTCAGATTGTTTCCATCTGCAGTCCCTAGTTACACAAATAAAATAACATCCAATTACAACAGTAGAAGAAGAAATCAAAATTCACTGTTTGGTTTGACGAAGGCCTTAACTAGAAACAAAAAGCATCAGAACAGCAGCTGTGTTTGGAGTCTGAACCTTAGACAGAAGTGTGTTCTAGACATGGACTTTAAATTCTGACTCGATCTGTGTCTCCAGGTGAATGTGTGCGCTGTATGTTCTGGAACAACCTGGGCTGCATCCACTTTGCGATGGGGAAACACAACCTGGGAATCTTCTACTTCAAGAAGGCGCTGCAGGAGAACGACCACACTTGTGCGCAGCTGGGGGACGGCGGCAGCGGCCCGGGTTAGAGGCACCTCAAGAGACGCAAGACACAAACTGGGCACTAAACATTAAAGGGTGGAAGCGGTCTTAAAGAAGATGATAGGAGGCATTATTTATTGGTCTTTAAATCATACCCCAACCCATGTATGGAGTGGAAGACACATGAAGCATCTTTGAGTGTCCAAAAAGCACTTTATAAAACTTATTATTATACAAAATTAGTGCTACTATGACATACTGGGCGGTCATCATGTTCTCTCATTCTAATGTGTGGGAAGTGTATTGCTTAAGGACATAACAGTCTGGTACTTTACAGTGGCAGCCGCCTCACCGTGGCACCTGGTGTATCCAGAGGTCTCCCGTCACAATACTATCCAGGCTATGCCCTGCTTAGTTTCAGAGGTCACATGATCGCCTTCATTGACATACCCAATTTCAATTCCGTTCATTCAGTACAGATGCACACAAAAGGCGATCACAATACGTCCTGTTGGCAGAGCTATTTTAGCAACACTGAAAAGAGTTGGGTACAACTTCGTTAACAGATAAATTATTCAATTCAATGTATTCTTGTATAGCCCTAATTCACAACAGTAGTTATCTCAAAGGACTTTGAATTTGCCAACACAGATCAGAGAATCAAACAGTTCAAACTCAAGCAATGCATTGATGACAAACACAAAGAGCCGTTGGTCCATAAGGGGCAAATGTCCATAAATGTTTAATGTCGAGTGTCCTCCTGAAATGATCACGATTTCTTACCAAGTCTTCTTTTTCTCTTTGCATCACAATGTATGTTTGTATATCTCCTTTTTCTCAAAACTAATGTCTTTTTTCAGCTAAGAAGTATGCGGGGATCCCCATGTGCGCGCTCCTGTCCAACAAACGTTACGAGCTTCTGTATAACTGTGGGATCCAGCTGCTGCACATCGGGCGGCCTCTCGCAGCGTTCGAGTGTCTGATGGAGGCGGTGCAGGTGTATCACTCCAACCCCCGACTGTGGCTGCGGCTGGCAGAGTGCTGCGTGTGCGCCAACAAGGGGGTACGTACCAAGCCCCGGTGATCCAAGATGGCGCCCTATTCAAATGAATGGTTGTGCTCAGTGGCGCTTTGTGACGGCATGGGGGCTGAAAAGATTAGCGGAAGTTGCCTGAAACTCTCAAAGATCTATGGGAAACTCGTCTGTATTTGGGCATTGTCTGGTCCTCCCGGTTCTGCGCAGTGGATGATCTCCCATAATGCGTTGCGCCAAACACGCGTGTGTGGGTCTCACACCAGGTCTCACGCACGTGCACAGAGGGGCTCGGCCGCGCTCTGACCAATCAGAGCAGTTCATCAGAGCGGGAGTTAGAGCGAGAGCCAGACGAGCAGAGTTTGTGGCACTAAAGTGTGGATTTAAAGAAAACCGAAGGATTTAAGAAGAAAAAAAGTTCAGGATGACAAGAAACACTAAAATCCCCACAAAATCCGACCTTTATGAAAGCTGTAGGTTCTCTGTCAGCTGAGGTCGAGCTGTTTTAATTTGCATCGAGTCCTATGGGGAAAATTTCTGGGTAGCCCACGTGAATTTAGTCTGGTTCAGTCTGCAGTACCGCGAGAATCCCCTGAGCACATGAGTTATTCAACTACAAGCTAGTAATACCCTATCCAGTTATTATAATACATCCATGGTACGTACCCACGCTTTCAAATTCACCTACACCAACCTGTGGCTCCTTCCTTGCAGCTCTCCAGAGGATTTAGACATTTCAAAGATTCAGTTCAATTCAATTTGTTTTTGTAAAGCCCTAAATCACAGCAGTAATTTTCTCGAAGGACTTTACAAAACCATTGAATTCGCCAACACAGATTAGAGAATCAAACAGTTCAAACACAAGAAATGCAATGATAGAAAACACAAAATGTCCATAAATGTTGTTGAATGTTTAGTGTCCTGGATCATCACCACTGTCCTTAGACATCTTAGTTTTGTGAATTAAAGATGAATAAAAATGCAAGGAAAAAAAGGAAACTCAAGGTGCTTAAAACAAGAAAAGAAACATTAAATTAATAAAATAATTGATTGTTTATGGTTTAATACCAATAAAACAATCCAATTGACTGATTGAAATTATTATTAACTGCCTGAAGCTCTTTTTTTTCCTGATAAGTAGCTCTCTGTGGGAAAAAGGTTGTAAGCCCCTGACCTGCACACACAAACACTATCCCAGATTTTGCTCAATTACAAATTCGTCTTAATTGGAAAAGACATTTCAAGATTATCACACAATTCTAACCACCCCCAATTTACACCAAGCGCCACATTTAATGTGGGCACAACAGGAAACGGGCGCAAGTTTGAAATCATTCACATTTCAAAGTTCAATTCAATTTACTCCTTCTGCCTTTACCCAACTTCCCCACGGTGTTCATGCAGAGGGAAAATAAAACTCCTGCGTCAACGTGGCGTAATACTGCTGGTGTAAATTGTCAGACTAGTTATGATTTTATTTATTTATGCATTTCAATTGTGGACATGTCAATACACCACATATTACAAACAGAATAACATATCAATAATTGTAGTCAACAAGAAAACATTTTAAAGATGGACTGCTGCACTCATGGACTTAATCACTCATTTACTTTGATTAACAATGGCAAGCAATCCCACCTTTACGTGCTGAAGATGCTTGGTGAATTGGGGTAAAATGTTCATCATATTGAGTTTTATTACAGCTTTCACAGCATATTACCAAGAGTTGGCAAATACTTGAGATGAATACATTTGGTTAGCGGCTGGTAGCACCTGTGTATGAACCTGTGTGTGAACTTGTGGCTGTTCCAGGGCGCGGAGCAGGAGAGTAAAGGCCTCCCGTGTAAGAAGGGGATCGTCCAGTCCATCGTGGGTCAGGGGTACCACCGCAAGATCATCCTGGCCTCACAGTCTGCTCACAACTCCCCCTACAGGTCAGTCGGCAGTTATACACAAAGAGACACTCAGAGCTCCACCTACTGGTCAGTCTGTGTGTGTAAGACTGCAGACCAGACACACACAGAGCTGGTATTACACTGATAACAGCATCTACTGAGACAATGTAAATCGTAGGTAACACAAGTTCTTCTTCTGCAGTGAGGGTCAATCAGCCGCGATCCCTGTGGCCAGTATGGAGTTCGCCGCCATTTGCCTCCGAAACGCTTTACTGCTGCTGCCGGAGCATCAGCAACAAGACGGCAAGACCGAGAACTGCTCCAAGAGCTCCAGCCAGTCCTGTAGCATCGAGAGCGGCAGCGAGAACAGTGACTCCTGCAGGTCAGAGCTGGTATTACATTGAGGACAGTGACTTTGGGTAAACTCCTAATCAGTTGTCACACTCACCATATTGGACTTAAATCCTGGTTTTTATATTTAGATATTGTCTTTTGTAAATCCAGATATTGGCCCTAACAACTGACCAATTAGTAGTGCCCAAGTGCTCCTTGGGGAGCCTCAGCAGCAAATAACCAGCAGCAAATAACTAGAGCAGAAACAGACCAGCGCTGCTCCTGATTATCTCTTTGGTAGACCCATCCATGGAGTCTGTTTGAGTTAAGTCTAATCCTCATCTAGCCCGTTTAAAATGGCCGTCTCTGTTTCAGTGGGAAAGGTCTGGACGCAGATAAGTTCCTGTCGGCAGGTCCATCGTCTCCGCTTCGCAAGCAGGAAGTGGAGAACCTCAGGTAATATTTATTTGTTATTTGTTATACAGCTCAGGAATGATCTGTAACATGTAGGCAGGGTTCAGACCAGGGTTCAGACCAGGGTTCAGACCGGGTTCAGACCGGGGTTCAGACCGGGGTTCAGACCGGGGTTCAGACCGGGGTTCAGACCGGGGTTCAGACCGGGGTTCAGACCAGAGAACAAAACAAAGTGAAGCATATGCAGATGGACTGTGTGCTTCATCACAATGATCAAAATGTGGGGGGAATATTCCTCCAATGCAAACATGTCTCTTTTGCTCTTAAATGCCTCTGCTGGCCTTGTCTCAGTAGTATCCGTGGTTACATGCAGTGGCCCTAACCCCTCCCTCCACAGGTGTTCCATCCTGGCCTGCAGTGCGTACGTGGCCCTGGCGTTGGGAGACAACCTCATGGCTTTGACTCACGCCGAGAAACTGCTGCACCAGCCCAAAGTGTCGGGTTCCCTCAAGTACGTGAGCTCTGTGTTCGCTGATGGACAAGAGTGATGCATAACTTTAACCTTTAACTCTGTCTTCATCACTGACCCCTCCTCCCCCTCCTCCTCCTCAGGTTCCTGGGTCACCTCTACGCCGCTGAAGCCCTCATCTCCATGGACAGAATCTCAGACGCCATCTCTCACCTGAACCCAGAGAACGTGTGCGACGTGTCCATGGGCGTGTGTTCCAGCGACCCGGACCAAGGTCTGGATACCCCCCCCCACCCCCACCCCTCTCTCGCTTAAGAATAGAAAAGAATAACATTTTGTAGTCTGTTCAATTGAGCAGAAATTTGTCTTCCAACATGGCACATTTAAAGGTCATTCATTAAAACGCACTTAAAATACATTTAGCAGAGACACAACAGTTCATATTGTGTGTGTGTAGAGCAATGTCCGCAGATGGAACAAACGATCTCTTGTAGAACTTTTTTTGGGGCCGGCGGGGGGGCCTAACTTTCGAGCCACAGCAGTAGAACTCTGTCTTACGATCCATGTCACGAGTTCCTGGCTTTAAAACAGTTTGCTTTTGAAAAACAAAGTCGGGTACCTCAGCTTCAAGTGCAATTATGTCAAATATCTCCTGGACATGACTCAAAGGGAGCCCTGGAGGTTCCACTCTTCAGATCAGGGGTCTCCAACCAGTAGCTCGCCAAAGGATTTAGATTTTACCTAAATATTCTGAATATTAAAATCTGTATGATTCACATGCCCACAAACTGAAGTAAACGAAAACTAAAAATGCGTTACAATTATGAGTTTGAATATTGACTGTTGATAGTTACAGTAGCCATCCAAGGCTTCCTCTCACCATTCAATAAACTCTTTTCCCTCAGACGCTTAAAGGTGTAGCTCTGTCTCATTCTAGTCCTGAGAAAGTAGCTCCGGCTCATTATAGACTTCTGACTTCTGTAAATATCATTGAGCCTCCACCCAATTATCATATAAATATTTCAATATATTTGTATTAAGATAGATTAAATGTTTTGTAGATTTGCTTGACCTCCGAATTGCTGTCAGATTGTTGAGTCCTCAGGAATGCTCTGGTTTTTCAGGTTCAGAGAAAGGAGAAGAACCCGGAGAGTCCTGTAAGTTTACCCCGTTTTATTTTGGATACAAAACATTTCCAGAGCATCCTTTAGACCTCCTTTACCCCTCCTTTAGACCTCCTTTAGACTTGCTTTAGACCTTTAGACTTGCTTTAGACCTCTTTAGACTTTTTAGACCTCCTTTACCCCTCCTTTAGACCTCCTTTAGACCTCCTTTAGACCTCCTTTAGACTTGCTTTAGACTTGCTTTAGACTTGCTTTAGACTTGCTTTAGACTTGCTTTAGACTTGCTTTAGACTTGCTTTAGACTTGCTTTAGACTTGCTTTAGACTTGCTTTAGACCTCCTTTAGACCTCCTTTACCCCTCCTTTAGACTTGCTTTAGACTTGCTTTAGACCTTCTTTACACCTTCTTTTGACTTGCTTTAGTCCTGTTTTTAAAAAGTTCTGCTTAAGTCCTGATTGGTCTCTGTCTCCAGGGAAACACACCCCTCAGTCCTACCCCAGCTCTGTGGCCTGTGCCCGAGCCATGATGCTGTTCAACCTGGGGAGCGCGTACTGCCTCCGGAGCGAGTACGAGAAGGCCCGCAAGTGTCTGCATCAGGTACTGCTGCAGTAGCTGTAGTTGCAGAAGTACTACTACTACTGCTACTACTGCTGCCGCCACTGCTATTGCTTTGGCTACTACTGCTACTACTTGTACTACTGCGTGGTCACCTGCTGTGTGTTTTCAGGCCGCGTCGATGGTGAACACTAAAGAGATTCCGCCTGAGGCCATTCTGCTCGGAGTTTACCTGGAACTGCAGAACGGTGCGTGTTTCCTTCAGGTTTTAGATTCAGATTCAGATTCATTTATTTGCCATTTGCAGTAAAACCACATTGGAAAAACTGTGCAAGACTACCCTGGTTTTACTGCAACACTTTAGGATTTATATCTACAACTCAGTCATCCAGAGGGATCCCCTAGACCAGAGACGTCAAATACGTCAGGGGTCAACAAAACAAATTTGCTACAAGCCGAGGCCCGGACTGGTTCAATGTTTATAGAGGCTGCTGTAGAAATGTTGATTTGCCGTTTTTAAGCTTTTTAGCAGCAAACTATAAGGACCCGTACACCCGTCCTGATGAATGTCCACTGTCACTTTTCTTTACTTATCTGTGCAGTGATCATTTGAATATTGTCAGAATGTGCAATAGTAGTAGTAGTAGTAGTAATCTTGATTTATATACCACCTTTTCACTGCAGATCTGAGTCTCAAAGCGGTTTACAATTGTTAATTTTTTTTTTTTGGGCATTTGTCTCTCACTCCTCACAGAGATGGGAGCGGGGTCGCCAGTACAGGAGGCGCATGCCAGAACTATTGGACATATTTTTAGTGGTAGGGGAAACCGGAGTACCCGGAGGAAACCTACGCAGACACAGGGAGAACATGCAAACTCCACTCAGAAAGGCCCTGGTCCGACCGGGATTCGAACCCAGGACCTTCTTGCTGAGAGGCGAGAGTGCTATCCACTCAGCCCCTCCGTGTATATAATATAGAACCACGTGTCCAGTCACTTTCTCAGACCTTGATGCTGCAAACATGTACAGATGGAAACATACTGTGTATTCTAGTGCAATAAATATACAGTTGTATTTTAAACTGGCTTCTGTAATGAGCTATTTTATCTTATTTTTGTGTAGTTTATTGTTCACTTATCTTGTGCTGTGTGCTCTTCATTCCTACTATTCTGTAACTGGTGATGCAACACTGACATTTCCCCACTGTAGGACCTCACTGTGGGACCTCTTCTTCATCTTCATCTTCTGTTGTTCCCCTGTAGGAAACACACAGCTCGCGTTGCAGATCATCAAACGGAACCAGCTCCTTCCGTCGGCTCTGCTCCGAGTCTCTCCAGAGTCCTGCAAGAAGTCTGCCCAGAACACAGCCCTGGCCTCGCCCTTCAACCAGCGCAAGTGAAGACCAGGACTGGGACCAGGACTCGGACTTGGCCTGGTCCAGGTCTGGGTCGGGACCAGGACCAGAACACTGCCTTAACCTCCTCATTCAGCCAGAGCAAGTGAGGCCCAAGTCTGGACCGAGTCTAGACCTCCCAAATATCTGGACAATTCAATAAATTTTATTCCCTCCAATGTGTTTCTGCTGATTTTAACTTTTAAAAAGTCCTCCTCACTGTGACGCAAAAGCATTTCAGGATGTTTTAAATGACTCTCATTCTGCCTTTTGCTCTTTTTGACAAGTTTAGTTCTGTGGCTGAGGTACGTAACTTTCAGACCACAACAATCCAATCAAACCAGTTTATTAATAAAGCACTAATAAAAACAAGGTTGACCAAAGTGCTGTACATAAAAATACATACACAAATATTCAATTACAAAATACAAAACAGTGGCAAAAAAAATAACAATCTATTACAATACAATACAATTTATTCTTGTATAGCCCTAGGTCACAACAGAAGTCATCTCAGAGACTTAACAAAACCATTGAAATCACCAACACAGGTCAGAGAATCAACAGTTAAAACACATGAATATAAAGCACACACAGAAGAAAATGTCCATACATGTTGTAGAATGCTAAAGTGTCCTGATCATCACCAATCCTTTCTGTTGGACACTAACTGTCCAACAAGACCCTCCTGCATCGACAAGGAAAAACTCTTAAAAAAACCCAGTGGGAAAAAGTGAGAAACCTTGGGGAGAACTAGGGAAACCCACAGGGAGGGAGACCCATTTGAGAAAGGGATCCGCTCCTCCGGACGGACAGGCTAATGATCTAGGACCTAAGCTAGCTGCAGAACATGGACCAGTGGCCGCTGAACGTGGACAGGTCCGGTGCAGGACTGAAGCACTCCCAGGCGGGTCGGGCGGGGCAGTCCGCAGGTGTAGATGGAAGCGGCCAGGCTCAGAGATCCCGTCATCGTACCATGAAACAGACAATGGGACAACGGGTGAATAGCAATGAACAAACTACAGTCAAAATCCTAATAATGCTAAACAGATAAAGTAGGACGGAGGAGAGGATAGTGCTAAAGTTACCATACTTCTCCCAGCAAACTGACTCCCTGATATTAAAAATCAATTAAGACTCACTTGTTCTCATTGGCTTTTAAGATGAGACTTAAATAAGATAAGATAAGATAAGCTTTATTTATCTCACATAGGAGAAATTTACATGTCACATTTGGCATGGATAGGACACTCAGATTGTGAGTGTCCAACAGGAAGTGACTCAGTCTATCACACAGGGGCAGCTCATTCCATAATTTAAGACCAACAACCGAAAAAGCTCGGTCTCCTCTGAGTTTCCGTTTAGTCGTAGGAACCCAGAGCAGAGCCTGATCTGCCGACCTAAGAGAACATGATGGAGCGTTTGGCGTCAGTAGGTCAGTGTGGCCATTCAGGCATTTATAGACAAACAAAAGGACTTTAAAATCAATCCGGTAGCGAACAGGAAGCCAATGAAGGGATGACAGGACCGGAGAGATATGCTCATACTTCCGAGTTCCTGTTAACAGACGCGCCGCAGCGTTCTCTACCAGCTGCAGACAAGCAAGTGAGGACTGGCTGATACCTGGGTACAAGGCGTTACAATATTCCAGCCGAAAATTTCAGGTCCTGTAATGTTTTAAAAACGGTAACAAGCATTCTTGTAATAAAAACACATCTGAATTAAAAGATTTAAGACTTGTTAAAATGCTCTGTGCTCTAACTCTAGACTTCTCACACTTCTCGCATTGATGGTAGAGAGTGTGATTGCCATGAGTATGGTTTTAAAAAGGTAAAACATTAAAAGACTAAAATACTTAAAAGGATAAAACACTAAAACACTAAAACTGGTTAAAACACAAGTAAAACAAGTTAAAACCAGGTCATGTTTATTCTCTGTGGATCTTGGTGGAGCAAATACAGTAGAGGGCGCTCTGGGGGGGGTCCTCTGCTTTCAGGCTTCAAAAGAACAATCACGGTTCAGGTGTGGTGCTGAGGACACAGGTTTTTTTTTTTTTAACCGTGCTTCATGTGTTGCTGTCAAGGATTTAAGTTCAGTCATTTTTTTGTTTTTATCTTTTCTACAAAGTTATGATTAAATGGATGGACATTCCATCTTGACACAGGAGTTTCACAGTTCATTGTTTTATTTGAGGTATTCTTGTTTTGTTTCAAGTGACTTTAAGTGCGCGTCATCTCCAGCGTCAAAGCGCCACCACAAAGTGTAAAAAGGCGGAAAACTCACCTGATGTCAGTTACAGTGAGTACCGTGAGGACTGTCGGTCACCGCACTGTGCGTGATACCAACACGACCTGGCTCCACTGGGCGTGAAGGAAAGGTTTGTGCACACGGGGAGCATAGAGCGGACTGACGGGTCTGTATTCATCTGTGCGCGGCTGGAAAAGCGTACAGCGGCCAGGAGCGGGGCTGGGAGTCTGGGTCTCGCCTTCGAGCAGCAGCAGCAGCAGCGGCATGGAGCGGCATGGAGCGGCGGGGAGCGGCGGGGAGCGGCATGGAGCGGCGGGGAGCGGCGGGGAGCGGCATGGAGCGGCGGGGAGCGGCGGGGAGCGGCATGGAGCGGCATGGAGCGGCATGGAGCGGCATGGAGCGGCATGGAGCGGCGGGGAGACTGCGGAGCGGAGCGGTCTACGGAGGTCACCGGGGCCAGTGTCTGGGGTGCCGAGCGGTTCGGAAAGGTCGTGCCTGGGGCGGCCAAGAAGATTCAGCGGGCTTGTCTGGCCCGTACATTAGGAAAGACCAGCTTTATAAGGTACTCGCGTTTAGCGCAGTTAGTGCACCAAAGCTAAGGATTAAAGCGGATACTGATGAAATGAAGGCCTATAAATCCAATGCATTTATGTAGAAAACTGAACTGAACTTTAAAAAAGACGTCTGTTAATGTACAAAAGGACACATTTAAAGGTCCCCTACTTTTGTTTAAAGTGCTTTTCTTGTCAAAATTGGTGACTTGGAAAACTTGAGAATCACTTTTTCAAAAGTCAAACAATGTTAAAGAGACACTCAATGGGCTCATGTCACGTTCAAGGTACTTTTGCAAAATATGAAGCAATTATCAATGATGTAAAAAATACACAATGGTCTCCTTGAGTTGTTGCCAGAAGCAGTAAAGGAGAAAAACGAAATAATATGTTAAGTGTTCAAAGCTGTGGGGAATCTGTGACTCAATACTTAAAGGACATTATTGAAAATGAACAATATAAGACTGATATTTATGTCAAGGACAAATGTGAAAATATGTCAGATGAAATACACGCTGCAGACAGTGCTTCCAATGCATCCATAAAGTAAAGTACCTCAATGTCTTCATCTCTTAGGGCTCAAGCAGAGGCAAAAAAATCTGCTTTGCTTGCAACGGAAATTGTCTGGAAGGAAAAGCGTGAACAAAAAAAAAAGGGTAATGAAGGAAACTTGAGCACGAAATGAAGGAAGAAATGAGAGCTCAGATCAAAGCCTTGGCACTTCAAGCGGAAATCAAAGCTGCAGATGGAAGAGCTGGACGTGCTTGATGCCTACAGTGACTGCATGAGTTCACATGCCTTCAGAACAAGAAAAAGCACAACTTCTTCCACTAAAGCAAAGACTGAAATCTGTAATTCCCAACGTGCAAGCTGATGCTATTCCTACCGTCGCACAATTGACTCAAAGCACTACTCACCTGCCATCCAGCCGCAAAGTGACCTCTTAATACAGTTTCTGCAGAAGCAAAATTACATTTTTTGACTAATAAAACAGGAAAAAGCAGCACAACTACCACCCAGAGACGTTTCAATATTTGATGATGATGCACTGAAGTTTAAAGTGTTCACTCAAGCGTTCAAACACTGTGTTGAGGACAAATGTGCGTCCAAAGGAGACTGCATTTACTTCTTGGAAAAGTACACAAGGGGGCGCCCCAAGGAACTAATGCAGAGCTGTTTGCACATGTCCCCAGAGGAAGGATATCATAAAGCAAAGTCTGTTATATGAACATTTTGGACATGAAATAAAACTCACAAATGCATATATGCAAAAGGTTCCCAACTGGCCAACCATCAAAACAGAAAATGTAACTCTATTACAAGATTATGCTTTATTTCTTCGTGGATGTAGCAATGCTTGACCTGACGAATCTAAATGAACTGAGCATGTCATCAAATATGAGGACTACAATCTCAAAGCTTCCATACAAAATGAAAGAGAAATTCAGAAACATTGCATGTGACATTCAAGAGACTGAGCATCAAAGACCTGCATTTGCAGACATTGTAACTTTTATTGAAAGACAAGTCAAAATAATTTCCGACCCAATCTTTGATCTCCAACCACAACCTTCAGATCGTGTCAAACACACTGAATTATTCAACCCAAGGCCAAGACATGAAAACTTTACAGTAGAGATGCACCGATCAGGATTTTTTTCGACCGATCATTAAAATTTAGACTTGCAGATACTGATCACGGCAGATCCAATCAAATATTGATATTGTGCTCAAATGAAAAATGCAATGTGGGTCTAGATAAATATGCATATGGTTGAACTAAACATAGATTGGGAAAAAACATTTAAAGGCACACCGTGTAACTCTTGGCCACTAGGGGCGCTAGACCTGCAACTTTCACGTTTAGCGCCCCTAGTGGCCACAAGCAACTCAGCACTGTCGCAAAAGTCAACAAACAGTCAGCCGGTGTCTTTTGAGTGTGTATTCAGACAGCATGCACTGGTGTGTGTGTTCAAACTGTAGAGACATGCCTACAGATATTGAGAGACTCTGCTGTGGTCAGCCTCCAGACCGCTGCATTAGTAATCTACCACACATGGACTTCTATATCCTGGATGAGGGAGTTCTGCGTCTAGCTCGTGCTGCGTGGAATGACATCTTTGCAGTCGATGACATCCAGGAACCAGGTGAAGAGCAGCGCTCATACAGACATGCAGCTTACAGCACGATCCCTTTCGCGTTTCCTCTTTTTAGCCTCCTCCGAAGGTTTAAAATTTTTCCTTGCCTCAGCCATGACCAGGAGTCGAGCAGGTGAAAAATGAGTAGCAAAAGCCTTAGCTCCATGAGTATATCAGCGCCTGTAGCCGTAAAGCAAGTCTTTCTTCCAAGTCACGTGACCTGGTGGCAGACGGTCCGTCTGCTCGAAACTTACATGGGCGGTATTTCAAGAGGGCAGCCCCGCTCGGAGCATTGCAAGTGTCAAGCGCTGTATATTGGCCCAAGTATTCATATAAAATAACTCATATGTGTCAACTCTTTAGGTCACAAAGTCCGCGGTGTGCCTTTAAATAAATGCGAGGCACCACAAACAAAATGTATGTTTTAAGCAGAATAGCTTTGTTTAACAAGAAACTTTTAGTGATAAATGATGGGATTTTAAGTGATTCACTTTATAACTTATCTTTCAAAACCATCAAGGAACTGGAAGTATAAAGAAAAGACCCTAGGGGTACTCAAGACAAAAAAGATTGGGAACCAACCACAACATAAAGTATTGATACATTTAAACAAAATGCAATGAAATTCAGCCCTCAATCTAACAGCACTTTACTCCAGCAAAACTGATTTGACAAATCTGAAAAAGAAATTACGAAACAACACAAATTTAATGGCGTTGTGTGTGCAAAAATAAGTGTTTTATGAACAATGTGGAAATGGGTTTTGTGCAAAACATGGCATATGCTGCAAGTGTTTAAGGAGGGATAGTTAAGGAAATGTTTTTCTTAACAAATATTAGCATCTCAGCATGTGCAGGGGAAAGTTTATTATGTTTATCCTCCATAATAAGTTCCACTGTGCTAAACAGCCGCCCGCTGTCTACACTTGTGCATGGTTTGCAGAGCAAAGCTCGCGCTGCTTTGGCCAAAGCAGGGAATTGGCTTTTATTTTATTTCCAGTAAACAAGTGGCTCTCTGCTCCGAGGCGTAACAGGTTCAGCTATAGGTAAAGCTGCATCTGCGACACTGCAGGACTGTCAGTAGTACCACTATTGGGGCGGGTCATTGGTGGCTCGGTCTTGAATAGTTGTCTGTGTCAATCGCACTTGATTACACACTATTGGAAGTCTCCTGGAAAAACGAAACCTGAAAACGAGGAACGTTAGGGAAAAGCCCTATCAATGAGCTATACTCAGTCATACATTGATAAAGAACTCCAAAAGGTTAAAGACAAAGTCAAAACCACTTTCCTGTCAACTAAGGATTTGTCAATCTGAAAACTCTATGGTGAAGTTTTGTCAACAAGAGGGTTTCCAATGAAATTAACTCTGTTAAGCCAAAGAAATGTCAAAGGCAACAGTCACATCTATAAACTCAATCCTTTTCTTCATGACAGATTAAAGTTGGTGGTCGGCTTTCAAATTACGCGATGCCCGTTGACACCAAAAATCCTATAATTTTGTCCAAAGATCAACATATATCACCCATAATCATCAAAGATATTCACAAATGCAAATTTAAGAGCTATTGGATCACTCATGCAAACGCATTAACAAGGAAAGTTGTATTATCGTGTTTTTTTTGTTGTTGATGTAAACTGTACAAAGGAAAACTATTTCCAGACAAATGCGGAGTCGTTAGATCCGTAGAAAAAAAGACAAAAACAAATGTTCTCAGGAGAAAAGTGACAAAGTTGTGTATGTTGTTGGAAAATGACTAATGTATTTTTGCATAATAAGGTACAAGTTGTTGTATTTTGCTCCTTTTCTATGTAATTGTGATGTCTGGCCATAACAATTAGGGGCCGGTTTGGTGGAGCAAATACAGCAGAGGGCGCTCTGGGAGGGTCCTCTGCTTTCTTGCTTAAAAAGAAGCCACAATCACGGTGCAGGTGCTGAGGACACAGGTTTTTTTTACCGTGCTTCATGTGTTACTGTCAAGGATTTAAGTTCAGTCATTTTTTTTCTTTCTACAAAATTATTATTACATGGATGGACATTCCAACTTGACACAGGAGTTTCACAGTGCATTGTTTTATTTTAGGTATTCTTGTTTTGTTTCAAGTGGCACTAGGCGCGCGTCATCTCCAGCGTCAAAGCGCCACCACAGATCTGGCTCAGACTCCTCATCAATGATTAAGGGAGGGGATGTTAATATATACTGTCTATGGCTAAAACCACTTAAAATGTACTCACAGATAAAGTGCAGGTGCTTATAAACCAGGGACTGGGGGAAGGGAAGAAAATAAGTTAATGAAACAAAATATACAATATATCCTCTGAGGCCAATGGTGAGTGCCACGAGGGCAAACACCTCGTTGACCCCAGAGGCGACAGCTAGCTCAGCCTAGAGCGTGAAAAAGTGTAGCACTGATAACAGATTTTTTCATTGGAAAAAGTTGATCATAAATCATGGCATTTAAAACATTTTTTTTTTTACAGTAAACACAACATTAAAAGGTTTAATCATTTGTTTACATAAAACCAGAGTTGTGTATTAAAATGTGTCAAAATGTCCATAAAATCAAGTGTCATAAAAGGCCCATAAAAAGTGTAAATTAAAAGCCCTCCTTGTGCAGAAGCGGGGTGAGTCCCTATCAAGTCTGACTCATCCTGCTCTACCAAACAGCTTACATCAAACCCTTTGTTGAAGGGCAGAGACAGGATGCAATTAAGATCCTCGGGTTTGAAGCCGAGGGCCTTCTGCACCAAGTGTCTGGAAAAGTCCAGGCGGGAAAAAGCCAGTCTTTTCCATCTACTTCTCTGAGGGTGAAGCGCACGCTGTGGTGCCTCCTCCTGCCGGCATGGGAGGCCGACATTCTGGTGGCACCAGCAGCTTAAAACACAAGTAAAACCACTAATAAAAACAGGCTAAAACCCAGGTTAAAACCACTAAAAAACAATAAATATGTGCGGGCTAAAACCACTTAAAATGTACTCACAAGATAAAGTGCTGGTGCTCACAAACAGTGGCTGGGTAAGGGGAAGAAAACAATAAGTTAATTAAACAAAATATACAATATGTCCTCTGAGGCCAATGATGAGTGCCACGAGGGCAAACACCTCGTTGGCCCCAGAGGCGACTGCTGTCTCAGCCCAAAGCGCGAACAAGTGAGCAACTGATAAGAACAGATTTTTTTCATTCGAAAAAGTTTATTGACACAGGTGATCGTTGGTCATGGCATTTAAAACTGATACATTTTTACAGACAACACAACAATAAAAGGTTAGTCATATTTTGTTTACATAAAAACCAAGGTTGTGAGTTAAAATGTGTCAAAATGTCCATAAAATCATGTGTCATAAAAGCCCATTAAAGTGTCAATTAAAAGGGAGTGCAGTGGGTAAAAGCCCTCCTTGTGCAGAAGCGGGGCGAGTCCCTATCAAGTCGGACTCATCCTGCTCTACCAAACATTTGGTCTCTCGGGCCTGTCTTGCTCAGAGGTCCTCGCCCTTGCACCTTCCCACCGTCCGCTCCCGGAGAGTCAGGCCGTTGCGGCTTTGACCTTCAGTGCGGTCCTAGGGCCCGCCGCCTGCAGCCACAGCCTCTCGGACTGTGGCTGCTGCCATCCGGATCACAGCCACGGGGGGGATCTGCATGTGCCTTCCTACCAGCAGGTTTCTGGAGGTCCATATGGCGTCTTTGGTGGCGGCGAGGGTGAGCCAGATTCTTGTGAAGTCCTTTTTTGAATTTGGACTTAGGCCCACCCCGTACAGCATCAGCTGTGCTGTGAGGACCTCCCCTGCTGGTAGGTACGGGAATTGTAAGGAGCCGGCTGTTGCCCACTGGTCGACGGCGGCGCTGCACTCCCAGAGCAAGTGTCTCACCGACTCGGGCGCGCCACAACCCGGCCGGGGACAGGTCGCGGACTGCAAGAGGCCCCGGGAGTGCATGACGGACCTGACTGGGAGGACCTCATGAGCTATCATCCAGGACAGGTCCCGGAGTCTGTTTGGCAGAGCAGGATGGTTCACGTTGCGCCACACCTGTGAGGGCTCGCCGATTGCGAGCCCGCGCACCGGACTCACTGGTTCCCGCTCCTGCACACAGGAGATTAAAAGACGATGTTTAGTTAAAACTTGCAACTCCTCCTGCTCCAGGTTAAAACGCTTTAAAAAGGTGGGAATAAAAGCGTAAAACAAGGGCAGGTTAAAAGACACAGGGACTCTAAAGTCAATGGGTAAAAACTTTTTCATTCTTAAAAAGGAGCCCATCCAGAATCTTGTAAAAGCCGTAGTTTTGGGGTTTCTGGATGGGCTCGTCGCCAGAGCGAGGTGAAGGGCGATAAAGCGGGCTCCAAGGAACAGAGGGAGGTCCGGCTCTCCTTTGGCTTCTTTAGGACCTCCCTCCTCACCCGTTCCCACTTGGAGCCCCAGATAAAATAAAAGATTGCCCGCTCCAGGTTTAAAATCACTCTCCTAGGAGGCATAAAAACAGAACAAATGAGTAAAAACAAAGGTAAAATCACGGCTTTGATGATTAAAACCTTCCCTTCCATGGTCAGTCCTCTAAGAGTCCAGAACCCCAGTCTTTGCCTAACTTTCCCTATGACGTTGCCCCAGTTTTGACTCCCTCCCCCTGCCCGGTCAAACCTGATTCCCAGTATTTTCTGTCCTTGGGTCACGGTCAAGGGGAGTCCAGCAGTCTCATCGGGGGTCCACGGTCCATAAAATTGGGCTTGGGTCTTCGCTCTGTTGAGTTTAGACCCAGAGGCCAGTCCAAACCAGTCAGTCAAGTCCAGAGTCCTGTTAACTGATAAAAGGTCGGTGCATAAAATATTCACGTCGTCCATATATAAAACGCACTTGGCGGTGAGCCCCCCCCCACCGGATGCCCCCCCCGATTCTGGTCCCTCAAGACTGTGCAGGGCTCGATGCAGATGTACAGGGGCAGATAACGGACAGCCCCGACGGACACCGCAGTTGATTTGCACTGCCTTTTGTCAAATGCCCGTTAACAATGAATCTGCTGCTGATCCCACGGTATAGCAGCCCCACCCACTCTATATACCTGTCAGGTAAACCCACTTTTCGCAGCACCTCAAAGAGGTACTGGTGCGAGACCCGATCGAAGGCTTTCTCAAAGTCTAGATTTAGGACTACTAGCCGAATGTTTCTGTCTCTCGCATAACAGATGGTGTCTCGGATCAGTACGAGGCTGTCGGTGATCCTCCTCCCGGGGACGGCACAGGCTTGATCCGGGTGAATCAATCCCTCTAAAAACACAGACAGACGTGAGGCTAAAATCTTGCTAAAAAGTTTACAATCTACATTTAAAAGCGTGATGGGTCTCCAATTGGCCAAGTCAGTCTTGTCTTTGTCTTTGGGAAGTAGAGTCACTATCCCTTCTCTAAAACTGTCAGGTAGTCGGCCTAGTCGTTCAAACTCCATAAAAACATTTAAAAGATCACCTGCTAAAATGTCCCAGAAAGTTAAATAAAATTCTACCGGGAGCCCATCGGCCCCCGGGGATTTCCCCCTTTTAAAAGTCCGTATGTTTATAGACAGATCTAAAAGGGTAAAATCGTGGGTTAAAAAAGCAGTGTCTTTTAAAATGTTTTCCAGGGAGTTTAAAATGTCGGCCGTGGTATTAAAATCAATGGGTTTAAAACTGTACAAGTTAGAATAAAAACACTCAACTATTTTCTTGATTTCTTCTGTGTCTTTTGCCAGATGGCCTTCACTGTTTTTTTTATTTAAAATTGATTTGCTTTTATTCAAGTACCTGGTGCATTTTTCACCTTCCTCTATTTCTTCTTTTGCTCTTAAAATTATACCTTTTACTTTTAATTTCTGATAAAACCAACATTTCCTTTTTTACTTGTTTAATTCATTAAAATCAAAACCATTTTATTTTAAAATAAAATATCTTTCAAGTCTTTTTTGCAGTCCCAACATGCGGTTGTTTTCTTTCCCTATCTTCTTCCTACCCACCCGTCTAAAAAAGGTCTTAGTCCGGGCTTTTACCATCTCCCACCAGTGTGCTCGTGTCTCGTGCAAGTCCTGAAGGGTCTGCCACTCTTTGTACTGCTCCCTGTACTGACGGACTACGTCAGTCTCCTTTAACAGGGAGCAGTTGAGCTTCCACAGACCTCTTCCTACAGTCACACCGGAGGACAGTGAAAAGGTGCAGGAAAGCATCAGGTGGTCGGAAAAGAAAACGGGGGTTAATCTAGCATCGGTGGGTGGGCAATCCCTGGTAAAAACATAGTCAATGCGAGAGGCTCTGGTGCCATCACCACTGAACCAGGTGAAGCCCTCCTCTCTTGGATGCATGGTTTTAAAACAGTCCTGTAGTTTAAAATCCCTACATAAACCCTGCAATAAAACCGACGTCTTGTCTAGATTAAAATCCCCTGTTCTATTTCTCTTTTTTAGTTAAAACACAGTTAAAATCACCCGCTAAGATAAAAGGAGCTGTCCCTAGCATGTGGGACTGCAGGTCTTCTAAAAGTTTGTACCTTTTATTTTTATTGTTAAAACCATATATATTTAAGAGCTTAAAAACACGTCCCATAAAATCCAGATGTATCAAAAGTGCCCGTCCGTCTCTCACCACAGTGCTGCCCTTTACCGTCACCAGGGGGTTGTTGATTAATATGGCCACGCCGTCGTTTGTGTTTTCATTCGAGCCGCTCCAAATGGAGGAATTTGGCCACAACTCCTCCCAGGTTCTGTAGTGCTTTAAAAAGGGCAACGAACATTCTTGCAATAAAAACACATCTGAATTAAAAGATCTGAGACTGGTTAAAATGCTCTGTGCTCTAACTCTAGACTTCACACTTCTCACATTGATGGTAGAGAGTGTGATCGCCATGAGTATGGTTTTAAAAAGGTAAAACATTAAAAGACTAAAAGGATAAAAAACTAAAACTGGTTAAAACACAAGTAAAACGAGTTAAAACCAGGTCATGTTTATCCTCTGTGGATCTAGCTCCGACTCCTCGTCAATGGGTGAGGGAGGGGATGTAGCCTGATCCCTCCTATGCCCCTCCACTAGGGGGAGCTTCGGAGTCGAGTGTCTGGCTCCGGAGAGGAAAGAGACCTCGTTGGGCGAGTCGGAGGGGAAGACTCTGGGCTCTTCCACAGAGTCACTGTCTGAAGGAGACCCAGCTCTCCCCCTCTTCTCTGGGAACTCTTCATTTCCAGAGGACGACTCTGACAAAGGCCTCTTGGGGTTGTGGGGTTCTTTTAACAGGAGGCTCAGGCATTTGTTTAGGGGGTCAAGAGGGTCCCCCTCCCCCACAGCCTTTTGCTGGTTTTTTTCCAATGGGGGCGGGGCCTCTTGATCCCCCTCCACCATGGTGTGGGTGGGAGGAGCTACAGGCCTCTGCTCCTCCACCTCTTTCTGTGCGGGAGGGGCCTCCTGCTCCCTCTGCACCATGGTGTTGGTGGGAAGAGCCTCAGACCTCGGCTCCTCCACCAGCCTCTCTGTGCAGGCCCCAGCTCCCCCTCCTGTTGTGTGGGTGGGGCCTTCGCAGGCCCCTCCCCCTCTCCTCTCCTCCAGTAGGGGTTTTTGGCGGGAGATTTGAAGTTAACCCCTCCTCTCCACTCAACTCTTCAGTTGGTCCGCCATCTTGTCCACCATCCTGTCCACAATCTTGTCCACATTCAATTTCCATTTTTCTGTTCCTGGCCTTTACTGGGGAGCTGGCTTCGGGGATTCTCTGGTGGTCTAGAGAAAGGGTGAGGTCCTGGTCGCTTGAGGAAATATGCTGGCCTCCTTGATCTCCAGTCTCCTCCACGCCTGGTGCTTCGTCGTCTGGGACCCCTGCAGGTGGTTGGGCAGGGAGTTGTGCCAGAATTTCGTTGAGGATCTTTTCAGCTCCAAGAGTCTTCTGTTGTAGCAGACGGACTTCCGGAGGGGTCGTAGTTGGTGCAGGGGTGTCGGTTTTGGGTTCTTTCCCTTTATTTTCAGGATCTGGAATCTCTACTGGGTCGGTTACTGGATTCTGGGTATCTTCCTGCTGTTCGTCGCTCCAATCAATAAACTCTGGGTATGGATGTGCTGGGGTGGCTTGTCCTTTCAACCGGTTAGAATAGGCTCTGGGGCAGTCTTCAAACAGTTGTGTGTGTGCTGCACACAAGTTACACTTCATAGGCGCTGAGCACTGGCTTATAACATGATCTGTTGCGTTACATTTTCTCCACTGTGTTACTTGACATGTTGCGGCAAGATGTTCCAAGCTCCCGCACCGTCGGAAGCCTTTGGGCTGGCCTGCGTAGTACACAGCTCTGCGGTAGGCCCCCAGCTGGATCGAGTTTAGGAGGTGCTTTACTTCACCATTTGCCAGCTTCAGCTTCATTTCCAGTTGTTTCGTGGCCGTTTTAACTCATAAATGTCGACCACCTCTGTAGCTTGAAGAACATCACAATAGGAGGCCCAGGTCTTAACATCCTCCACTCTGACACGTTCGGACCAGATAACGATGTGAACGATCTTTCTTTCCACTTCCATGAGGGGCATGGCCGTTACGTTCTGCAGAAAAAGGCTTTTCGTCCTCTTTCTGTTGAAGATCTGAAGACATGTCTCAAGGCGTTTGACGTTGTAATAACCACCTCAAACCCTTTCCTTCCAGGAAAGACAAAGATAAAGTCCAACTGGCGGGTGGACACTTCCAGTTCTTTTTTGCAGAAGCCGTCGACTGAAGGTAAGACGGTCCATTTCAAGGTCGTCTGATAGTTCAAACCGGACCACATTCTGGCGAGAATTTGACTCTGCTGTCACCATGTTGCGTAGTGACAGGGCACCCTTAAGTAGCGTTATGCTCCATACACCGCACAGCTATAAAACTTTTGACCTTAGGATCCTGGTCTCGCCCCTGCCAGGTAAGTATGATTTGCTTGGATCAGAGCCAAGCCCCTGCTCCTCGGACGGTGAGCTGGCCAGCATGGTTTCCAGCAAAAGACCTTATTGGTCCCACCTTTGACAACAAGGAGCACAATGAGATTGGGTGAAAATTACCAGCCTCTTGTCTCATTGTTTCTGCATTATGCTGTTCAAGAATCCCTCTGAGGTCCTTACCTGAAAACACTTCTTTAAACATCACGAAGGAAACCCCAGTAGGAAGAGTGAGTCCGCGCACCGGACTCGGTGGTTTCCGCTCCTGCACACAGGAGATTAAAGACGGTGTGCAGACGATTAAAACCTGCAACTCCTCCTGCTCCAGGTTAAAACGCTCTAATAAGGTCAGAATAAAAGCGTAAAACAAGGGCAGGTTAAGACACAGGGACTCTCAGGTCATTTGGTAAACTTTTTCATTCTTAAAAAGGAGCCCATCCAGAATCTTGTAAAAGCCGTAGTTTTGGGTTTTTTAGATGGGCTCGTCGCCAGAGCGAGGTGGAGGGCGGTGACTCAGGCTCCAAGGAACAGAGGGAGGTCCGGCACGCCTTTGCCCCCTTTCTCATTTGGCTTCTTTAGCACCTCCCTCCTCACCCGCTCCCACTTGAAGCCCCAGATGAAGTAAAAGATCGCCCGCTCCAGGGTTAAAATCATTCTCCTTGGAGGCATAAAAACAGAACAAATTAGTAAAAACAAAGGTAAAATCACGGCTTTAATGATTAAAACGTTCCCTTCTATAGTCAGTCCTCTAAACGTCCAGAACCCCAGTCTCTGCCTAACTTTCCCTATGACGCCGCCCCAGTTTTGACTCCCACCCCCTTCCTGGTCAAACCTGATTCCCAGTATCTTTTGTCCTTGGGTCACGGTCAGGGGGAGTCCAGCAGTCTCGTTGGGGGTCCACGGTCCATAAGATTGGGCTTGGGTCTTCGCTCTGTTGAGCTTAGACCCAGAGGCCAGTCCAAACCAGTCGGTGAAGTCCAGAGTCCTGTTAAATGAAATAAAAGGTCTGTGCATAAAACATTCACGTCATCCATGTATAAAACACACTTGACGGTGATTTGGGTGGACAAATCTAAAAGGGTCCTCTAAAATGTTTTCTATGGAATTTAAAATGTCAGAGGTGGTGTTAAAATCAAAAGGTTTAAAACTGTAAAAACCTGCAACCATTTCCTTTATTTCTTCTGTTGTTTTTAGCCAGTTTGCCCTCATTATCTTTTAAATTTAAAATCGATTTGCTTTTATTTAAAATGTTCTTTAAAAAGTATCTTAAGCATTTTTCGCCATTGGAATTCTTTTTCTTTGGCTCTTAAAATTATAGCCTGGCTTGTTATGTCTGATAAAAACATTTCTTTATTTCCTTGATTTCCTCATTAAAATCAAAACCATTTTGTGTTAGATTTAAAATACCTTTTGAAGTATTTTTTGCAGTCCCAACATGCGGTTGTTTTCTTTCCGTATCTTCTTTTCCACCCGTCTATAAAAGGTCTTAGTCCGGGCTTTCACCATCTCCCAACAGTGTGCTCGTGTATCGTGCAAATCCTGAAGGGTCTGCCACTCTTTGTACTGCTCCCTGTACTGACGGACTACGTCAGTCTTGTTATGGGCCAGGCCCTTTGTGTCCAGGAGAGGGTGCTGTCTCTGTTTGCCTGCCTTCTCTGCCGTCTCCTCCTCTGTGCAGGTACACCCCTCATCAATGGACCTTTTCAGCTGTGAGCTGAGAGCTGGTCACTCTTCTCCTGTATTGCTGTGTCTCATGGTGGGCTCTGCAGAGACCTACCATGCTCATTCCTTATTTGCACATTTGAGTTTGTCTTTTGTTTTATGCACCACATCCACTGCACACCACACACTGGCTTTCATTGCATTCACACACCTGCACCACACTGATTACAACATGCTCACACCTCATACCTTGTTTTTGTCAATGTTATACTCTCCTTTTTTTATTATTAAATATACTTTTTGCACTTTTTACCCCCATTTTTCCTCCCTATTTGTTATGGCTCTGAGCCGGCCGGAGCAAGTTGGGGGCTCGTCTGTCTTAGTTTTGGTCAGCTGTGGCTGTTGTAAAGACCCAGAAGGTAAGTGTATAATTTGCAATGTGTGCTAAAAGTTTAAAGTTGAGGAATCCCTTGTAGGCTTAGCGGTGTTTCCCAACAGGGGGTTCGCTGCATTTTTTTTGTGCTTAGTGTGGAAGTTAAGAGCGGGTCGTAGCTTCCCATTTTCCCTTTTCCCTACATCGGCTCGGGAGCGCGCCGTGGTTACTTGATTGCCAGCTTGGTTGTCTTGTGCACCATCGGTATCTGGCGCATAAAAACCCATCGCCACGCTTCACGAAGACTAGGGTTGAGTTAGTAAGCTTTTGGTTAGGTAGTTAGCGGGATATCCTTAACCTTTTTAGTAGTGTATATTGGGAATTCAACTGTACTGAATGTTCTTAAAAGCAAATTAAAAAAATTGGAATTTGCATTTTGGTTTCACCTGTGGGTGAGACTTGTTTAACTTTTGAGCAGCAGGAGGAGTTACTCCTGTTGCGATTGGACGCTGAAAGGAAATTTGAGATTGAGGTAGGAGGTTGAAATGGTTCAACGTGACATTGAGCGGCAGAAACTGGATTTAAAGAGACAGGAAATGCAGAGTAGTCCTGGACCTGAACATACAAAGGATGAACCTGGTAAATTGACGCTTGTTCCACGTTTCAATGAAGGGGATCCTGAACTAAAGCTTTGCAGGTCTCAGCAGTGACTTTAACTGGCTGAGATTCCACTTGTGGGAATGGCTTTAGAAGTAATGGAGGTTCCATGCCATAATCTTCTGCATTGTGATTTTGTCCAGGGTGAGCAGTCTATGGGAGTGCACCCAGCATTGCCAGTGGATGGCGCCACTGTGATCCTGGGCAATGATATTGCAGGTAGCCGGGTCTGGGCTGATGTGCCTCCTCCAGTCCAGGTGTCCGATTCGCCTGTGGTATGTAGTAGCCCTGATGAAATTGAGAGGCAGTTTCCAGAGGTTTTTACTGTTTGTGCGGTTACACGTTCGAAACGAGGGGAACCGGAAAGTGGGGTAGATATGCCTGACAATGACATCCCGGTGCCGGTTCTTCCTTGGTCAGTGACACACAACATCCTCGTGGAAGGACATTTTTGTTTGTGTTCCTAACAATGTTGTTTCAGTGCCAGTTCTTCCATTTTCCACTGTCCTGGTGGTGGAGCAGAGGTCTGTTGCCTTGGAGGGATCAGTGGGTGATCCTGTGCACCCAGTGGTGGGTTCTTTAAAATGTTGTGATGCTGGGTTACAGATTGGTCATGACCAGAGCAGCCATTGTGGGGTCAGGAACACTTGTGGCCAGAGCTGGTTTATTTCTTCTGTCCCTTTTCCACACAAGTCTAGAGCTAAATGCCAAAGAGATGCTAGGCTCTGAGGTGTTTGTGACTGGTCCTATTGAGAGTGCTGACATTGGTGATGCTAAATCATGACGCTTGTGGCATCCTGGAGAATGGAAGCTGCTGGAGGAGGAAGTCCAGTATGTGGTGGTGTTGCTGTTCCTTCTCACTCTAGCAGGGCTTCACAATATTTGCCGGTACCAAGCTTGGATGAAGCAGCTGGAGACTACAGGGACTGCTGTGGTCTGGAAGCTGGTGCCAGGTCCATTTTGGTGGAAGCGTGGATGCTTCAGCCCACCGTGCAAGCGACACTTGGACGGCACGGTGGAGACCCCAAGTCCCGGGGACAACGTTTTTTGTGAGGTACATTGCTTGACACCACGTCTACTCCAGGGACGTGCGGTGAGGTTTGTGATTGGGGAGGCACTGACTTTAACAGTCAGATTTACCATCATTATTCTAATAAAATGGCATCAAATCGTCAATGCAAAAACGTCCACAAACATTATATACTGTAAAGATAAGAGAACCAGCATATTAATGAAAATCCTACAACACATCTAGACGCTGGCTCTCCGCTCCACATCAAACCAAGTCTTTGCGAAGCACAGGTGCGAGAGACGGGAGGAGGGAGGGAGGGAGAGAGACTCAAGGAGTGAGAGATGCAAGGGGGGAAAGACGCTAGGAGAGTGACGCAAAGAGCGATGGATGCGAGGAGAGAGAGAAACACAAACAAGACTTAAACACGTTGCAGAACTTATGACCAGTGTTAAATCAGTGTTTGTTTTTTTTTACGCAGCTCTAGTACATTTTCAATATAAAACAGACACTGACAGCTCCTCACCCGCGGCCGGACTAACCTCGTCAGTCCAGCGGTGGTCTTAGTCTATATTACTTCTTGATTTGATTGAAAGTCCAGTTGAGAAACAAATCCTCAATCCAATCATCCATTTTCCAGCAAAAGAAATGGCACCGACAGGACTGATAGTTGGTTAGCAAAATATTCAGTCTGTGTTAGCAACTCGGGTATGAACTTCATGCTCACTATCACCCCTAGTGGTGAGGCACAGACACTGCCTGCCTCATGCTAGGCTTTTCCCATGTGTATTCTTCTCCGATCAAAAGACTTCAAATAATTATATATAGTACACACAATACGTGCAATACATTACTAAACACTGACAAGTTAAACAAATGTTTTCATAGCAGGATGTTGAAACAAAAAGGGATATATCAACAGCATGAGCTGAGTGCACTCACACACACACACACACACACACACACACACACACACACACACACACACACTATGTGGGAGCGAGCGGTCTGGGGGGAGGCAGGAGCGCTGCCTCACCTCGAAAAATAGGATTTCAGCGATTTTGACTACAGAAATGATCAAAACTGTTCGGAAACAGGCCGAAAATACGTTATAAGCATAGGACAGTGGAAAACAATTATATATTTTGACTATATTAATATTGTTTCAATGATGGCAGGTGAGGCTCTGCCTCCCCTGACTGCACGTCACTGGTTTACTCCTAGTTTCTTCCAAACATTTAAGATGCCTAATTACTCTATGGATGGAACGTCATTTGGGCTGCTCAGAATTTTTTGGTTTCATTTGGGTCTTATGAAGGGCCCAGTTGGGTCCCTTTCTTGTGGGGGGACACTGACACTAAAACTGGTTAAAACCAGGTCATGTTTATCCTCTGGACCCAACTGAGTCCTCATCAATAGGTGAGGGAGGGGATGTAGCCTGATCCCTCCTATGCTCCTCCTCTAGGGGGAGCTTCGGAGTTGAGTGTCTGGCTCCAGAGAGGAAAGCGACCTCGAGGGTCGAGTCGGAGGGGAAGACTCTGGGCTCCTCCACAGAGTTACTGTCTGAAGGAGATCTAGAGGGCCGTTTCCAGGGGCCCTACTCTACTCGACTCGACTCTCACCGGTTTGCGGACGTTTCCACCGGCTCGCTTTAGCCGTGACCTGTTACTTTTTTGGTAACTGCTTTAGACTTGGCTCTAGTCGGGCCGAGCAGATACTGTAACCCCAGCAACGTCGGCGAACGCTGGTGTGTCCCACTCAGCAAAAAGCAGACGCCTTTTCTCTGGCATCTCTAACATTTATAATAAATACATAAATATAACATTCATAATGAAGATGCTTTCAATTAATTAGCTGTAAACCATTTGTTTTAACTCCACACGGCTCCTCCCCTGCCAAACTTCTCTCTGCTCTCTCCTCCGCAAACCACCACAATGAGGAAAAGGGAATATTCACTCAATCTATTTTGAATGTTACAGAATATTAATATAGGCTAAGCACGCGTAACATCTGTAGCCTGTGTAATTACAATAGACTGTAAATATTAAAGTAATTACGCACCTGCTTAGAACAGTATGCGGCAAATTCGCTCGCAAACTACAAGGGGTAGTTGGAATTGAGGTTTCAAAGAATATGGTTCAAACGCACGCACACTAACTCGAGCACAAACACACAGGCCCTCATTTAGGAAACTTGCGTAGAAAAGGTATATTCCATTCACGCAAGATCCAACGTCGGATTTATGAACGTGTGAGATCCGCCCAGATCTGAGCGTACGCAGCTGCGGCTGTTGAGAAATGCTGCGGCTGAAAACAAACGTATTTATGAAAGTCACGCCTAGAATTATGCAGCAATCGCCTGTTTCCCGCCCTGTCTTTGCGACAGGTCAGCAGGAAGCCGGCCAAAAAGACTAAAAATAAATATACAATATTCAGCTGCGTTTTGAACAAATTTGCAAATATGTTTTGATACATTATAAAAATCTCTCTTGAATTGTAGAAGTGAATAAATATAGATTGAATGAATGAATGAATGAATTCATATATATTATGCAGCGGTGGCTCTCATCAGCGTATAGATTTACACCAGCTCCAGACCTGGCGTATATTTTTTGCGTATTGTACGCTCACGTCCAGATTGATAAATGCGTACGCCTCATTTACCCTGATTTGGCCGTACGCAGTTTCATACGTGAGGCCCACAGTGTGTCTCATACAGGCCTGGAGTTTACCTCATCAGTGCGAGGCGAGCCAGGCCTGACCGCGCTCTCCTCCTCTGGGACCTACGGGCCCAGGCCTCTGGCTCCTCTACCTTTCTTAAAACTAAAATTAAAAAGGCTACTCCGTTGTGAATGTCAATAAGAGGAGGAATAGCTGGTTGTTCTCGGGGAACGAGCTTCGCGCATGGGTTTCGCGATGTTTGATATGATCATGCAGCTTATAGGACAAAATTGTTCAGCCAATAAACAGAACTATATTTGAAGCAACGAACCTGATGACGCTCAGACGGTTAAATTTTCTAAACATTAGAACGCAACATTTTAGCAATAATGTGTGTATAGAAATAATATTTAAATTATGTCTTTTAATAAAAAAGGCAACTGACTTGAGGCGAGGAACAAATTTGAGTAGGCCAAGATAAAAACTGGTAAAAACTACCCAGGCCTATACCTGGCGCCGCGGCCGGCTTAGAAGGCCTGTGATGCCCACAGCGTCATCAGTCTACGCGCCTCTGTGTGGATCACATGTCTCTCTTCGGGCTGGAGCTATGGCTGGAGCATTTTGAGGGTTTTAAAGCAGGAGTCAGGAAGGTGGCGATCCTACGGGTGTTTGTGATTTTTTTGGTTTAACAGCCTCCCTGTTAAACTTAATTATATATATAATTATATATAGGGATCAGGAGCTTTATGACCCGACCCACCCGCACCCCCGACATGACTCATATTTTTGAGGCATCCAACCCGCCCGAAACTGCGGATTGACCGCGGCTTTCGGGCCGAGCCGCGCATCACTACCCCTTAGGTAACAGGTTGCCATAGATACACAGGGCCGATGGAAACGCTCTCAAACCGAGTCGAGTCGTGCCGAGTCTAGTTGAGGCGAGTAGTCGGGCCCGTGGAAACAGCCCTTAGCTCTCCCCCTCTTCTCTGGGAACTATTCATTCCCAGAGGACGACTCTGACAAAGGCCTCTTGGGGTTGTGGAGTTCTTTTAATAGGAGGCTGAGGCATTCGTTTAGTGGGTCAAAAGGGTCTCCCTTCACCACAGCCTTTTGCAGGTTTGGCTGGTGTTTTTCCACTGGGGGCGGGGCTTCTTGATCCCCCTCCACCATGGTGTTGGTGGGAGGAGCCTCGGCCTCTGCTCCTCCACCAGCCTCTCTGTGGGAGTGGCCTCCGCAGGCCCCAACTCCCCCTGCTGTTGTGTGGATGGGATCTCCGCAGGCCCCTCCCCCTCTCCCGCCTCACCCCTCTCCTCTCCTCTAGTGGGGGGTTTTGGCGGGAGATTTGAATTTCCCAGCCCCACCTCTCCAATCAACTCTTCAGTTGGTCCGCCATCTTGTCCACAGTCCTGTCAACCATCTTGTCCACATTCAACATCAATTTTTCTGTTTCCGTCCTTCAATTTGTTGGCAAAAGATTTTGGGCAGTCTCTAAAGAGGTGACCCAGGTCCAGGCACTTTCTGCCATTGGTACACTGGTCAAAAGTGTGCCCAATTTCTCTACACTTGAGTGCATGCTTCCACTAAGTGCCCGTGCTCCCCACAATGCCGGCAGAGCTTGGGTTGTCCTTGGTAGTGTATGTAGCCACGGTTGTCTCCTAGAACTATCACTCTAGGCAGGTGCTTCAAGCCTTGGTAGCCCTGGGGGTCTGGCCATTGTTGAATGGGGACCCTCCAGCTGCCTGTCCAAATGCCGTCCACATCTCTGACCTTGATAGCCTGGCCCTTCACCGTGCAGTGTCTACCCAGCCACAGACAAATGTCCTCTGCATTCACGGTTTTGTTGTAGAAATCTAACTGGGATTATAAATCATAGAATGAATCTAATGATGAACTAGGATATCTGGGACAAAGTTCAAGCTAATCAATCTGTTCAAGCTAGCTAATCTGTTCTGTAGAGACGGCGAGGCCAATGACGGGATAGAGGCAGATACTAGCTTGATATCGGGGCAAGAGGAGCGTGGTCACCGGTCATACTGACCATTCTTCCTAATATCAGAGTAATATCAGTCGCATCAGAGTAAGACGTCAGAGAGGGGGGTTTGAGCGACTGCTCCCACTTAATCTCGGACTTAGACGCCATAGACTCTTCTGTTTGTTCCATCCTATAAATATGAGAGTGAGCACTATTTAGCAGATCTACTCGAGACCTGCTCACGCGGTGACTGTTGTATTTTCTGTATATGTATACATTTACTGAGATAATAAACCACACTTTGATCGTTTACAGCTCTTGGTGGTTTATTTGATATTTAATTATTGTGTATTTCAATCCTTAGAAATTCCACAACAAATTGGCGTCAACGAACAGTCCCATCATCATGGAGGGGGTCCGCTGCGGTTGGAATCAGGAAGGGTATAGCTCCCCGACTCCAGTGACTCGGTCTTCCCCTCTCAACGTTCGAGCTAAAGGAGGACTCCTGCCTCCATACCTGGCGGATCCGCTCAGCGCATGGTGACCAAACAAACCAACTTAAACAACCAGTGTAGTAAGAGCTGTATTCTTTCAAACTATCTAAAAAACCCGTATTTTATCTCTCCGCGCAAAACTATAAAGCCCCATTCTACCCAGGCCTTGGCTGTCCTTTTACTCAGGGTCCTGATTTAGCTATAGATGTTATAAGTAGTTATCTGTTCTGTTAACGCAGAGGCATTTAACAGGCCGGACTCAGACGTAGTGCAGAGGGCAAGGACGGCCATCGTTGGACAAGATGGGTCAAAATCAGGGGTCATTGACCACTGACCGGGACATGAAGTCCCACAAACCGCGGCGACAAAAGCCATGTCCGAAAAGTTTGGGCCAACGGTTTTTGAATGTTTAAATGTATGGTCGGGAAAATCCGGCCTCCCAGAGTGGAAGTTATCAAGCCTAAATAAACTCTATAAACTAAAAGCATTTAGAAAATTTGCAAATTAAATCTACCAAATAATTAGATTCTGACGTATGTAATAATGAGTCTGACGTACTGCATAAAATTCTTGCGAGTGTGTGAATGGATGTGAAGTAGAAGGGAGCCAAAGAAAATAAGAGCAGTTGATTTAAACTAATTAGTTGGTTAATTACATTGGGGGAAATGTCACCATACACACCTTAAAAACACAGAGCCCAGAACCATTACAGTGCTGGGTGACTCAGACTGAGAGTGAAATGTGATGTGTGAAGTGTGCCAGGAGTGATAAGACTTTAACTGGAGTGACCGAGAATGACTGTGAGAGTGACTGATAAAAAAAGATATACAAGTCTGTGTGGAGAATGAATGGAAAGTGAGAATGAGAATATGAATGTATGTAAGATACTCAATCGAACCACCTCAATACTCTATCAAGAGGCGTATAGGCGCAACGACAGACACGGCAGTAACTTGCCCTTTGATATTGTGTGTGCGTATCTTTTTTTTCTATTTTCACTTAGATAACGCTGGGATTGTTGATACTTCTGAGCCAGTCAGATGTGTGGACCCCGACCTAGACCCTGGACGTGTGACTAAACGTCCCCAAACCTCAGACTCTGATGGAGGACGATGATATGGAGGGTAAGACAAACCCCTTCCAGAACCAGAACCCTCGTCAGTTACCCACAAACCCCAACATGGACAAGCCTGGAGCCCCAAACCAATTATGAAAGCCAAGAACTCTGTCCCGACCCCCTGTGCCCATGCCAGTCATGCCAAGAACTCTGTCCCCCGACCCTGCTAAGGTGGGACCACAGGCTTCTATCCCTGTGTAGAGATAGGGCAGTTCACAAGAAACTTTCCCAATGACAAGGGAAGCCCCTCCCACAACAGCAGTCAAAGAGTGGACAGAGACAAAGCAACAACTGGGTCTAACAAAATGGCCACAGGCCCACCATGTTTCCGAATAGTTCCACAGAAACCAGCATGAACGATCTGGGACTGACTGACTGGAGGACGAGGGTCTGGGAGGGTCCCACGGACAACACAAACACAAGCACATATAATATATGTATATTATTGACATATACACAAATGTATAGTATTCTAAAAGTTTAGAGTAGTTGGACAAACCCTATTGTCATAGAGGGGAAAAAAAGAAAAAGGGTGGGGATAGGTTATTCTAATCAATTCCGTGGGCCACATACTCCTTGATTAAGGACTTTATTTATTACATAATTGCCCCGAATGGGTGAAGGACACATTCTTTTCTTTAGATGCAAAACATGACAAAGGAATTTTTAATAAATCCATTGAAATGTTCTGAATAATCTGTTTTCCAAATTGCCCAGTTATTTCCCACGACCGAGACTTAAATCTATGGTCTGTGTGTAAAAATCCCTTGTAGTATAATAGTATTCTGACAGAAGACTGTCTGTCTATAATGTATTTTAATGTAAATTGTCACTAAATCCCACAATCATTTTAGTGAATGCAATATTTTAGTCAGACGACCTGAGGTTTCATAACTTTGGAAATATGCATTGTTCGATTGTGATGTAGAAAACACTGATTTTGTGTGTGACTGAAGAGAGAGAGAATGGTATGAGAGAGATAAGGACAATAATGACAAACAGCACACACACAACATTACAGTACACATTGTTTCTGTTAAGCCTAGCGTACATCGGACTGGCAACTGATTATATCCGTTGCATATGAGTTGCTGCCCCGCACACATCGACAATCTGACGAAAACGGGAAACTCCCAGTAGCAGACCAGTCTCGGGAATAACAGCGCGTACATCGACAGCAACTGGCCTCAACTACAGTGTGTTTTCTGACATAAACTGTTGCGGGCTCACAATACACACACGTTGTCGGAGCGGCGCATGGAGCGCGCACATCTGGTGATGTCTCCGAAATCTGAGGACAACTAGTTGCCGAAAAGTAGAACACGGGCAACTGACTGAAACTGGAGACCGACTGTTTATCTCCAGTTGTAAGAGCGCTCACATCGACCGATTTCGGCAACTGATCATCTCCATCATCTACTCTCAGTTGCCAAAAGCCGCCTTGCAACTAGTTGTCTCCAGTTTCTGTCGATGTACGCTAGGCTTTAGAGCCTAGAGCCGCAGAGTGGGAGGGGAAAGTGTGAAAGTGTGTGATTAGCATAAAACGCAAAACAAAACAAACATTTTCAGCCAAAACATAGAGACGTGGAGAGTTTGATTTCTACGTCACAGAGAGACCGTGTCAGACGTCAGAGCGACTGCTCTGAAAATGAGGTGTGTTAAATAACTCTGGCAGAGGCTGGAGTAATCGTACATTGCAGAGGTGGGGGCGGAAACAAAGCCCTCTTTGCAATAAACAAAATAGGTCCAAAATCTTTAGCTATTTTCCTCATGAGTACTCAAAAAAATGTAAGAAGCAAAGTATTTTTTTTTCTTTTATGATAAACTTGGCAAATGTTTATTTTTGTAACACTAAGGTTTTTATATTTTTCCTTCAATAGGTGCACGAAGGCCAAAGGGGGACCCCAGGTTTTCCTTTTCCTCTGTATTTTTAAATGCAGCATTATGTGACTTTTGACTGCATTTGTTTTTAGTGAGTTTTTATTTTATTTTAGCAAAAGTCAGTAATGATAAAATTAAGACATTTTTAGACGTCCCACAGTGGGGACATTTCAGTGTTGCATTACGACACAAGACGGGTGAATAGTAAGTATAGCACAACTCTATACTTTAGAATTTAAAATAATTGGGTTTAAGAAAAGGAAAAGGTACAAGGTAAAGTAATGTGAATGTACAGAGATATTGTCCACACTGCAGTAGCATACACGGTAATAAGTGAATCAGACCAAACTTTGATGTCAAATATTTTAAGTAATTACTTTAAACTTATAGTAATTACTATATGCTTTTTGGTTGACAAATAAGTACTTTATAATATTATCATAGCTCCCTGTACAATACTGATTTTATTGCTTTAAGTGAAAATACTTTAGGTATTTCTTTTGTAAGCCTGGTGGTCCATTAATGACAACACAAATATATTGTGTTGATTGAACACAAAATGTGGCGAAGCAGTGACGCTACCCAGAATGCATTGCAGAGAAAAAATTAAACTTAAAAATTCTCCATTTGAGCATTAATTTTAAGACTGAATATGAAGCAAGTCCTAAAGCAAAATACTTGAGCAACATTCTAGATAAACTAATTTGACCGAATGAGTAATTGTATTTATTTTTACCAACCGTGATCGACAGGGCCAAGCCAAAGCAACACTATAGTCCCTGGGTCATCTATCATTACTGATCAAACAGTATAAAGTGGTCATCATGCTTGGTGGCAGCTGCAATGTCCCTGCTCTCATTTCTGTATGGAGTGGGAGACTAATGGCCAAAAATAACAATTGTAAACCGCTTTGCGAAAGGTGGTATATAGATAAAGATGACTTACTAATGACTGAAAATCACTCGTTGAATATACTCAAAAAGATTTGTTTTCAATGTAATTATTGAAGTTGGTGGTATCGTTAAAATTGAGTTGAACTGATGCTAAAACACTTGCTGAATATACTTAGTGTCTTTTTAACTCAATAATCATACAAAGAATACTTAAAACAGTCTGTACCCGAGTGTAAATACATGTTTACTTGTATTTACACATTTGCAAACAAATCTAGAACACTCTCTAGGTCAAGAATATGGAGGTGGTAAGTCATTAACCCGGGGGAAAGGGGTAGTTCAAAGAGCATATGAACACATACCACATTTGACATACACATACAGTAGCACACACATATATGTATTTACATACACAGGGTTACAGTAAAAGTAACGGGAACATGGTCAATAAATGAGGATTGTATTGTGTGTGTCATATGGGGTTTCACATAACAGTTTTTACAATATGTTTGACAGGATAGTTTTTAATAGTTAATATATAACCACATGAAGAAAATGATAAACCCATGAGTAAAGTTATATGAAGACCATTATTATATTCCCCACAGACTCAGGCTAAGCACTGGCAGCACAGACCCAGAGGACAGGCTAGGGAGGGGACAAATAACCCTTTTGCCAAAACATTGTTTCAGAAATATGACCAACCCCTCCATGAGGAGGGATCACATCTCAAAGAGGGAGACGCAGAGCGCCATCGCGCCTTGACCCGGAGGGTCGAGCCAGAGGAGGGGTCTGAGTCCGGCGACTGCCAGGAAGGGCCCTAACCGAAAGTGCCGGAGCCACCCCACCGCAAAGGGTCGAAGCCCCACCATGGGTCCAGCCCACTACGGGTGGACCCCAGCTGCCCAGAGCCAAAGGGGACCAACGAGAAGGGTCTGAGGACTTTCTCACACCGCGGGTGCAGCAATCGGGTAGGAGCGGCAGTGCCCGACTTCCAACGCAGAAGTGGAGCCGAAGCAGGAAGGCTTGCTCCCCAACGGAAAGGACCACCTTGAGGGTCCCCACAACAAACTTGGTCTGCCTTCTGACCAGGTGTTTTCGAGCACACAGATAGAAGCTCTGAGCCATGGGTCAGGTATATTGTTCCCCGCTTTTCCACAAAGCTGAGTCAGAGACTGGGACAATCGGCTGGTCTGACCTGGAGGCCGGGACGCCCACCCCGAGGGTGGGGGTGGGGGTGGACTGGGAGAGGACTGGGAGAGGACTGGGAGAGGACTGGGAGAGGACTGGGAGAGGACTGGGAGAGGACTGGGAGAGGACTGGGAGAGGCTATCTCAGCATTGTGTCGAAACAGGCTTTTGAAACTGTTTATACGTTTCAGGATTAGCATAACTTAGCATTGGTTTGTGGTACACATACATGCTAGGGTTTTTAAGCATTGATAATCGGTGCACTAACTCTGATGCTCCCACCCACTCTGACCTCATGTGGAAAGCACAGGTCGTCAGAAAAGTGCATCCATATTTGAGGTTAAGTATTCCAGATCTATTGACAAAGCATTAGACCCAATAGACAGGCTTTGACTTGAGACTATCTTTGGGGTCCATTTAGATCCACATACTCGGGTTCTACGCTCAGAGTATCTCTGAGAGTGCACCCAGCACTGCTGGAGTGTAATGCTTGGGCACAGTGTCGACTCTGGGAGAGGTGAGGGTCGGCTGATGACCCATCGGGTCCAGTAACGCCTCGTCTCCCCTGGGCAGACGTCTGTGACGCAGCCAGGGTGATTAATTTAATCAAGAAAATAAGTGTGGTTTCCTTTTTACGGTAATCAAACTGTGAATATTCTTATTCAAAATGCTCACATTTTTGTTTTTGTTGATGAATTTGTTCCTGTGATTTATATTTATGATTTCTATAGCTAGAATTAAGTTGATTTAAGATAAACAGGGTTTATATTATCAAAAGGGTGGATTGTTGTAGAAATCTAACTGGGATTATAAATCATTTTAACTTAAGAGTGAATCTAATGATGAACTAGGATATCTGGGAAAAAGTTCAAGCTAATCAATCTGTTCAAGCTAGCTAATCTGTTCTGTAGAAACGGCGAGGCCAATGACGGGATAGAGGCAGATACTAGCTTGATATCGGGGCAAGAGGAGCGTGGTCACCGGTCAGACTGACCATTCTTCCTAATATCAGAGTAATATCAGTCGCATCAGAGTAAGACGTCAGAGAGGGGGGTTTGAGCGACTGCTCCCACTTAATCTCGGACTCAGACGCCATAGACTCTTCTGTTTGTTCCATCCTATAAATATGAGAGTGAGCACTATTTAGCAGATCTACTCGAGACCTGCTCACGCGGTGACGGTTGTATTTCCTGTATATGTATACATTTACTGAGATAATAAACCACACTTTGATCGTTTACAGCTCTGGGTTATTTATTTGATATTTAATTATTGTGTATTTCAATTCTTAGAAATTCCACAACCGTTTCACTGAACATTCGAACAATCACATGTTTCAGTGAACTGTCCACCAGGCCCTCCACCAGGAATGCATTAAACTACTTGGTCCAAAAGTCCCTCAACTTAGCTTCAGATTTGAAGCTTACATCAGACCCTCTGTTGAAGGGGGGAGACAGGACGCAGTTAAGATCCTCGGGTTTGAAGCCGAGGGCCTTCTGCACCAAGTTTCTGGAGAAGTCCAGGCGAGGGAATGCTAGGACTTTTCCATCTACCTCTTTCAGGGTGAAGCGCACGCTGTGGTGCCTCCTGCCGGCATGGGAGGCCGACCTTCTGGAGGCACCAGCAGCTTAAAACCACTAATAAAAACAGGCTGAAACTCAAGTTAAAACCACTAAAAACAATAAATATGTGCAGGCTAAAACCACTTAAAATGTACTTACAGGTAATGTGCAGGTGCTTATAAACCGGGGACTGGGTAAAGGGAAGAAAACAATAAGTTAATTGCTTGCTTGCAATCACTCATAAACTTCCGGTTGACGAAGTGGTGGTCAGCAAGAGTTGCTGCTGATATGTGGAGAAAATGCAACTCTTCAGAGTATTTTTTTGCTTTTGTGGATATTTCATGACACTTTGAAGCTACTACGGTTAACGTTCTATCTCATCATTCTAACAATCTGCACAAGGCAGAATTTTTCCACTACATGTTTTGGCAATATCAAGGTTGAAGCTACTTGGCACCGTGGCAAATGCTAATATGCTAATAATGCTAATAAGTCTCCATTCCTCCGCTGTATGTCACTTACATTCTGTAACGTCTTTGTTTATGCTGCCTCTACCATCGACAATAAAACATGTCTTCTGTCTGAATTAAAGACGTCTTTTCGTAAAGTCCTTAGTGCGAGGCTCTTTATTAATCTCTTCACGAGGAACCCTAAAGTATCCATCAAAGGTTTCGCCATTCAATTGGTTAAAAACCTTAAAACAACACATGCAAAAAGCATATTCAGACACGCTGCTCTAGTAAACAACTAGCTCTGCTGACCACCACTTTGTGATACACATAAGTAATGAGGCAAACGTGACGTCAATTGCAAGCAAGAGATTAAACAAAATAAAAAATATATCCTCTGAGGCCAATGGTGAGTGCCACGAGGGCAAACGCCTCGTTGACCCCAGAGTAGAATGCTAGCTCAGCAGACTGCTGGACTCCCCTTGACCGTGACCAAGGGACAAAAGATACTGGGAATCAGGTTTGACCGGGAGGGGGGAGGGAGTCAAAACTGGGGCGACGTCATAGGGAAAGTTAGGCAACGACTGGGGTTCTGGACTCTTAGAGGACTGACCATGGAAGGGAAGGTTTTAATCATCAAAGCCGTGATTTTACCTTTGTTTTTACTCATTTGTTCTGTTTTTATGCCTCCTAGGAGAGCGATTTTAAACCTGGAGAGGGCGGTGTTTTATTTCATCTGGGGCTCCAAGTGGGAGCGGGTGAGGAGGGAGGTCCTGAAGAAGCCAAAGGAGAAAGGGGGCAAAGGCCGGACCTCCCTCTGTTCCTTGGAGCCCGCTTCACCGCCCTTCACCTCGCTCTGGCGACAAGCCCATCCAGAAACCCCAAAACAACTGCTTTTACAAGATTCTGGATGGGCTCCTTTTTAAGAAGGAAAACGTTTTTACCCATTGACCTAAGAGTCCCTGTGTCTTTTAACCTGCCCTTGTTTTATGCTTTTATCCCGACCTTTTTAAAGCGTTTTAACTTGGAGCAGGAGGAGTTGCAGGTTTTAACCAAACACAGTCTTTTAATCTCCTGTGTGCAGGAGCGGGAACCAGTGAGTTCGGTGCGCGGGCTCGCAATCGGCGAGCCCTCACAGGTGTGGCGCAACGTGAACCATCCTGCTCTGCCAAACAGACTCCGGGACCTGTCCTGGATGGTGGCTCATGAGGTCCTCCCAGTCAGGTCCGTCATGCACTCCCGGGGCCTCTTACAGTCCGCGACCTGTCCCCGGCCGGGTTGTGGCGCGCCCAAGTCGGTGAGACACTTGCTCTGGGAGTGCAGCGCCGCCGTCGACCAGTGGGCAATAGCCGGCTCCTTGCAATTCCCGTACCTACCAGCAGGGGAGGTCCTCACAGCACAGCTGATGCTGTACGGGGTGGGCCTAAGTCCGAATTCAAAAAAGGACTTCACAAGAATCTGGCTCACCCTCGCCGCCACCAAAGACGCCATATGGACCTCCAGAAACCTGCTGGTAGGAAGGCACATGCAGATTCCCCCCGTGGCTATGATCCGGATGGCAGCGGCCACAGTCAGAGAGGCTGTGGCTGCAGGCGGCGGGCCCTAGGACACAGCCACAAAGAAGCATCGCCTCTGTGCTCATTCGGACGAAGGAGACCGAAGCCGCACTGAAGGTCAAAGCCGCAACGGCCTGACTCTCCGGGAGCGGACGGTGGGAAGGAGCAAGGGCGAGGACCTCTGAGCAAGACAGGCCCGAGAGACCGAATGTTTGGTAGAGCAGGATGAGTCCGACTTGATAGGGACTCACCCCGCTTCTGCACAAGGAGGGCTTTTATTCACTGCACTCCGTTTTAATTGACACTTTTTATGGGTTTTTATGACACCTGTTTTTATGGACATTTTTGACACATTTTAAACACAACCCTGGTTTTATGGAAATTACTTATTTTTAACCTTGTATGTTGTGTTAAATGAAAAATGTATGTGTTGTTTAAATGCCATAATGATGACTTGTGTCAATAAACTTTTTCGAATGAAAAAAAATCTGTTCTTATCAGTTTAATATCTGATACGTCCCCTACATGGGGGACCATATATTAAATTGATTTTTGGAACTGGGAGATGGAATTAGGAGCTTGCTCTGTCCTCTCCATGCATTGACCTGGTATTGCAGTACCTCCAGGAACGGTGCACCTCCTCTTTACTGTAAAAGTCATTGTGGCAGAGTTCTTAGTGCTGCTGTTAATTTCCTTTTTCTTGCTTCTTTTTAATGCCATATATACATGTGGAATGTGTTGGTTGTGTTTTAAATCAACCAATGCAGTCAATCAGACAGAGCATTTGCACGTGTAAACTGGTCACCCCGTGTCAGTGGGGACCACACACCCATCTTTGTGCAAATTAGGTGGACTTTAGCAGCTGATCAACCACGATAGAACCGTGAGGCCTAATGTTTGTGTTCTCCCGGGGCCCGACATTTGGGCACTCTTGTTTCTCTTCAGAGCGTATAAATCTTTCGCCTTTTACTAAAGATTTCCGTGGTGAGGAACAATAAGAGAATATTGCCAATTTTTAGATGCCCTGCTTCACTGCGGGGCTTCCTTCATGATGTTCAAAGAAATATGTGTTCAGTAGTGGTGGGTCATGAAAACCTCACGTACCATTTCGGCACATCCAGCAAACTCTACTCATACTGTGCTGCAACAGTGTCGCTTTTGCTGCTCTAAACCCGCGCTTGGTGGATCTTATAAATCCAACTCAATAATTCTATGACCTTTACATACATGTTTGTACACTTGACTGCATTTTCTGTGGTATTTTTTTGGCCTTTTATGTGAAGAATAAAGTGAGCAAAATGTCATTTGGGGTGCTTTACATATTTTTATTCAAGATAAATAAGTATGTAACAAGTTTTTCCATTCAGTCTATTGCGTTCTATGGCATGAAAACGGTTGCTATGGAAATCAGGGATGATTGCATAGCTGTGGTTTCCATAGTGACCAGTGCTATAGTGATGGATATCACGGTTTCCAAGGTGACCATTGCCATAACAATTCCAATAGTGAAGGTGGCCATATTGACTATTGCATAACTATTGTTGCCAAGGTGACCATTGACATAAAAATTCCCATGGTGACTATGGTTGTCATAGTGACTATTACATATCAATGGTTGCCTTAGTGACCTTTGCTACTGTTACCATTGCATCCGTTGCTATTGAAATCACTATTGGAACTATCTTGGAAACCCGTGGCCCATCATTCAGGCACTCTGGTTTCTCTTCAGTGCGTTGTTGTTGTCAAAGGTGGGACCAATGAGGTCTTTTGCTGGGAACCATGCTGGCCAGCTCACCGTCCCAGGAGCAGGGGCTTGGCTCTGATCCAAGCAATTCATACTTACCTGGCAGGGGCGAGACCATGATCATGAAGGTGGTTCACCCAAGGCGAGGCTCATCCATTGCACTGACCGGGTGTGCTGACCTTTGTGAATTCCCCAAATGTGGGAATCTCAACTGCATAATTTCTTTTCTTTTCCTTATTTCTTTTATTTTCCTTATTTCTTTTCTTGTCTTTTCTTTTCCTTATTTCTTATTTTCTTTTTGCTGACGACAGGATGTTGTCAACCATGTGGCAAAGGTTTGTCAGCAGAAATCCACAGAATTACTGCCACATATTTGTGGCATCGCTTCTCGGCCTTTTGGCTAGTCTGTGAGCTGCGCTCGGACAATGGAACGAATTTTGTGGGAGCAGAACGTGAGCTGAAAGTGGCCATAGAGCAATGGAATCAGGCACAAGTGCATGATGTGTTACTCCAAAAGGGAATCAAGTGGTCGTTCAACCCACCAGCTGGATCACATCATGGAGGATCGTGGGAAAGGCTGATCAGATCGGTGAGGAAAGTTCTGAACTCCACTCTCAAAGTGCAACACCTGGATGAAGAGGGACTTCATACAGTTCTTTGTGAAGTGGAGGCCATTATTAACAGCAGGCCCATCAGTAAAGCATCCACGGATCCAAACGACTTGGAAGCACTAACACCAAACCATCTGTTACTGCTCAAAGGTCAGCCCACATTACCACCAGGAGTGTTTCAAGCCGCAGATTTGTACTCACAGAGGACATGGAAACAAGTTCAGTACATATCTGATCTATTTTGGAAGCGATGGACGAAGGAGTATTTGCCTCTGTTACAGGAGAGACAGAGGTGGACTGGAGTCCTAAGAAACCTTGTCGAAGGAGATCTAGTTCTTTTAATGGACAATACAGCTCCGAGGAATTCGTGGATTATGGGACGTGTGATTCAGACGTATCCGGATCAAAAGGGTTTTGTTCGTCAAGTCCGAATCAAGACAAAATCTAGTGTTCTGGACAGACCCATAACAAAGGTCAGTCTGTTGTTAGAGACTGAGGAGGCAGCATGAGGGCGTTGCTGCTCTCGCTTACTAGTTCTTTCCAAAAGTCGTCAGTGTTTTTTTTGCTTGACTTTTGAACATTTTTGGACATTGTTTGACTCTGACCACCAAGACTGTGGACTATTTGGTCATGAGGTGACCAGAAGATGGACTATTGTGAATGTGGATTTATGGACTATTTGATCTATTACTGGTTTTGAATACGTTTATGCCATGTATGTGTCTCCTATTATGTTTTTTGGAAGGTAATTATTATGTGTTGCCTAATAATTAGGGGCTGGTGTGTAGGAGACAGATCAGGGTTCACTGGGTGTGTATGTGGTCCGTGTGTGTGTGGCTCCACAGCAGGGGGCGGGGCTCACGGGGCAGGTGCGCGTGCACGAGCAGGGGTAAAAGTGTGCGTGTATCTGTCAGGCGAGTGATGAGTCAGGGCTGAGTGGGTAGCCGTATTTTTTGTTGACCGTTTGTTCGTTTTGTTCGTTTGTTTGCCTTATACCTCTTCTTTTGCTCACATCAGGTTCTATGTTGCAGTTCAACAGTTTATCATTTTTCCATACTTTGTTTGCTGCACCTTTTTAAGTCAATAAATCACTTTAAAACGCAATACCAGGATCAAGGATTTATTAGCATAGGCTTCAATACGCGTCATCACATTACAGGACCCACTCTGACCGGCTCAGCGGCTCAGGTCTGCAGGAAGCCGCAACAGTCCGTTATACGTGATGTTGTTCAGAAGAGATTTCAGGTCACATAATAAAATGTGTGAATCTTTTCTCCTCTTGGTTATACATAGTAGGCTCGGATTATTAAGGCCATGAATGTTAATTTGTATTGCACAGTTCAAGAACAGAGCAACTCAAAGTGCTTTACAAAAAGATTTCAAATTTCAAAGAATCACATAACATACATTTACAATAATAAATGCAGGTTTAACCTGGATTTGTCATTTGCTGTGTCGAATTGTAGCTGCATGAATCTGAAATGCATTTAGTCTCGACATCATCATGAAACATAACAAAATTGTGAAATCGATTCATATGAATTTACTAAATCTATCTGTAATGTATTAATTTTGCAAATGTGATTTACTTCCTGTACTCAAGAACAAATAAAATGCATTGTTTGTGGTCATGTTGGCCCATAAAAGTAAAAATGTATCCAGAGAATATTTACTTTTGAAATAATTGTACGACAGAAATAAATGAGTAGACTTATAAAGTAATAGGAGACTGTCAGGAAGAACAACACCACAAGTGGTGGAAGTTACAAGTTACACTCTGCTGTAACTTCTAACTTCTTAGAATTAGTTAAAGGACAACTCACCCTCAAATCCACTTTTTTTTTGCTGATAAACGGTATAAATGAGTGTCCAATAGTGTTGTCTACATATCCTGGTCATAATCTTGTCACTTTGGTGCAAATTAGTTGAAAGTTAGACTTTCTGCCTAAAACCGTCTGTGAGGCGCCATCTGCTGGCGACCTTTATTACTACATTTGAATTTTGAATCTGGCGCCAACACTGGCACAGAAGTTGGACCTGACGTCAGCAGCCCCCCGCCCAGAGCAATGTAAACGGCCCAGTCTCGTTCACGCCCCCTTTAGTCCTCCAGGCTACGCCCATTTATTTTTTTGAAAGATGCGCTGGGTAACGGCTGCAAGTCCTTAGTAGCTCTGATTAACAGTTGTGGTTTTGTGCTTTACTATTTTTATTTTTCTTGCTTTTTTCTGCCTGAGATGTTGCTGCAGTACAGTGTGCAAAGTTTTGCACTGGTCCAGACCGGAGCGGAGAGGATTCATGGTCTGAACCAAGCGGATCAGGTGAAAATCCACAGGAGGAAAGCTAACTTTTTGAAAAATGCTAATGAAGCATTTAGCATTTTACTTTGGACAAGAGCGGTCCAAACCAATCAGCTACTCCATCGTTTGACCAGTCCTGCTCCACCCAGAGGCTACTCCACCTCTGCTGCTGTGACCCGTCCTGCTCCACCCAGAGGCTACTCCACCTCTGCTGCTGTGACCTATCCTGCTCCACCCAGAGGCTACTCCACCTCTGCTGCTGTGACCTGAAGAGCTGTGGCTGATTATTACTGTTGTTATCTTTTATTAGAATGATCAATTTTTCTTTATCATTTTTGCTACTACTGGACACCTGCATTTCTCCTTTGGGGATCAATAAAGTATCTATCTATCTAATTTGACTGTTGCATGGAGGCAATACTTTGGATTTGAAAGGCAGAGAAGAATAAGCCGCTCTTTGCTTTTATTGAGAAACAATATTGTAACATGGTTCAAAGTGTGGAGGTTCTGAACCCACCCATATTTTATTGGTGAACTCTCGACTGATGATGATCGTGACACCGTACATCTCGATGATCACAGTTCTGGTGATGGACACGGCCAAGTTGTTGCCTCTGTTTTCATTCTGCACGGTGACTTTAAATGGCTCCAGATACGGTTTCTTCACACAACGCCACCAGTTGATATTTACACATACCCTGGAAGTGGGGATGTCAAGAGCATTGGGTTAATTCATAATCCTGAATATTTAGGTCACTTTATGAAAGTAAAATAAATAGTATGTATTACTTTTTTAGAAACTGTATGAATTAATCATTGTTCAACTGTAATATAAAAATTGTGACAACCTTACCTGGAAGTCAAATCTACGGCCATCAAATGTCATGCAGTGAGGGTCTCCCTCGGATGTACATGTGCCAAAGGCCGACAAGCACGGATCCCCTCCACCACAGAGCACTTCTCTTTGGGCGAGCATGAAGCCTTTTTGCAGACCACCATCCCCAGAGTCGTGTCACACTTACAGAGGCGCCCACAGCCCGGGCCTTCCCAGAAGCGCTGGCCTGGTTTGTAGTAGCGCCCCCGATAGGAGCAGCCACAGTTTTCTTTTGGGATGCACACGCCGGCGCTCATGACATAGCCCTGATCGCACACACAGCCCTCCACACAAACGGTGATACAGTACTCATTCGGCTCTGGGAAGGGGCAGGTCCCCTGGCAGGGGCTGGCACATTCCTCAAAGTGACTGTGGGGCTGGCAGTTCATTGCTGCAAACAAAGTAACATGTATTAGCTTCATTTCTTTGTCTGATTTTAATGTCCTCCTTGATCCAGCGTTTACGTTTGATATTTTCAGAGTCAATGACCAATCCATAATGTGGTTATTGCTCTTGCAGTGATCCAATATGGTTTAGTCTCAATCTTGCTAGATCTGAGTGCAGCTTTTGACACAGTCAACCATGAGATCCTCTTACAGAGACTAGAGGACTGGGTTGGCGTCTCTGGCACTGCCCTAAGTTGGTTTGGGTCTTACCTTGAAGACAGGAAGTACTTTGTGGAGATTGGAAATTGTGTCTCAGATCATATGGCCCTGACCTGTGGAGTACCACAGGGGTCGATCCTGGGACCTCTTCTGTTCAATCTCTACATGCTGCCGTTAGGTCAGTTAATACGCAGAAACGAAGTTTCCTATCATAACTATGCAGACGACACTCAGATCTATGTCTCACTGACTGCAGGAGAACATGGACCAGTGGACTCACTCCTTCACTGTATCCAACAGATCAGTGAGTGGATGCAAAACAACTTCCTTCAGCTAAACGCAGACAAAACTGAAATGATTGTCTTTGGTCCCCAGAAACAAAGAGAGAGCGTCATCTGTCTCTCCCTAAAACCCTCAAACAAGGTTAAAAATCTAGGGGTAATACAGGACTCAGACTTAAATTTTAATAGCCACATGAAATCAGTAACATCAGCAGCTTTTTACCATCTAAAAAACATTGCCAGGATCAAAAACATAGTGTCTAAAGCAGACTTGGAGATTCTTATCCATGCATTTGTCTCCAGTAGGTTAGACTACTGCAATGGCCTGCTCACAGGTCTGTCCAAACAGGCTGTAAAACAGCTGCAGTACATTCAAAATGCAGCAGCTCGAGTCCTGACTAGAACCAGGAAGTACGACCACATTAGTCCAGTCCTCAGGTCTCTGCACTGGCTTCCTGTGGCTCAGAGAATAGACTTTAAAACAGCTCTGCTTGTTACAAGTCTCTCCATGGCCTCGCACCAAAATATATTAGTGTCATGTTAGTCCCATATGAACCAGCCCGGACTCTGAGGAGCACAGGGACTGGACTCCTGTTAGTGCCCAGAGTCAGAACTAAACATGGGGAGGCTGCTTTTCAGATTCATACAGCTAAAATCTGGAACAATCTTCCTGAAGATGTGAGACAGGCCTCCTCTCTGACAATGTTTAAAACCAAGTTAAAAACAGTTATGTTTAGCTGTGCTACAACTGAGGGATTTTATATTTTATATTTTTATCTTTTTAATGTAGAAACAAATGATCAGTGGTACATTTTGGAGGTAATCCTGATCTCTGTTACTAGGACTGAAACTACACCTCTTGGCAGAGTTCTATGCTCTATGAGTACTTATTTTGAGTGTTTTACTTTAAAAAGTAGGAAAAAGAGTAAGAGTAATAACAAAAAGAGTAAATGATACTAACATAACACTTATGGATGCTCGAAAAGGAGTGGGAAGAAGTAAACACTTATTTAATCCCACCTCTGATTACTTCAGTCATTACAAAGGTAAAGTAAAGGCTTCCTATTAGCTCCAACGTAAATTTAGCACAGACTGCAACATCTTATACATCTTGATCATAAGCAAAATAAGTTTTGAAAATGTCATCAAAGAAAACATAACATTTAGACAGAAGTGGCGGAGGGACAGGGTCATGCATGATTATTCCACACTTTCCTTATATTAGCATGGATGGAGCTAAAAACAATTCCAGATCTGGTTTAAATGAGGAGGGTTATATTATTTCAAAGACATTTTTGCATAATGTGTTTAAAATACCTGGTTCATCGGTAACCTCCTCGCCCTGAGCCTGGCATGGACCTGATGAAAATGAGACAAATGTGTAAAAAAGTGATATCTGATAAAGTCTTTAAACTACTTATTACAGAAACATCCTCTTCCCTTTCTCAAGTTTCCTTTGATACATGCTGTTTGTTATGATAACGAAGGCCCATTGGAATTTAGTTAGATAGTGAGTTTAGTCATTATTAATTCAAGACAATAGTTTATACCTAAAGTATATTTTATCAAGACGAATAGGCATTCTGACCTCCATAACCAAACATATTAACGGTTTTATTAGACATACAACTTGATTAAAAACTGCATTAGCAATCCACTCATAAATAAGACAAGTGAGTTAACTACAATATGTTTGGAGTCATCGTTTTCCATGAGTAAATCCATAAAAAGTATCCTCAAATAAAACAGCATTAAATAAAAAGAATGGCACTGGACTGGTATACATAAATACAATCTTTTGTGAAAATCAGGTACTTCAAAATCCTACATTTAAGTCATTTGAAAGCATCAATATTGTTTAGCCTATAAATATAAATCTTATCTTCATTGCAATGACATTCTTGACCTATCCTTACTTGCATGGGTGCAGGTATAAAGTAAGTAAGTAAGTAATCTTTATTTATATAGCACTTTTTTCAGACCAATACACCACTACACATTTATAGGATTAAAATGACTGTTTCACTGTTGCAAAAACACTGTCTTTTGCACTGAGAACATAAATGAATGATTGATATATTATCAATGCCGACCTACTGCATAATAATGACTGTTTCAATAACGCTGAAGTCCTAATGCCCCAAAAAGCCATTTTCAATTTAGATGGCGAGCCTTTGTGCTGCTCTCTCCAATTCTTCAGCCGTTTACATTAGATTTCTTTCACAGAGGCACCTGCCCCCAGCTCCAACAATGGACTCATCTGATGGAGCCGACAACTCGGATAAATTACTAAACATTGAACCATGAATGGGTCTCACGCTGGTAGAAAGCACAGCAATTTAAGAGTCAATATTCAGTCAATACTAAAAACCTCACTTTGTAGAGAGAATTAAATGTGGATTGGTAGAAAATAGGTATGTGATAAAAAAAATATCAAAAGCTAATGGTTGAATTATCAAACCACAAGAAAATCAAAATAGTTAGGTAGTAGTTTTCATGCAACCTCTGTACAGCTTTAAATCAGACTTTAAAATAATGTCTGACCTTTTCAGAGGGAAAAATAAGTATGGATTACCAGTAATCATCATTGCTCAACTATACTGGGCAAACTATACTAAAATGTTTTGAACTGCATCCTACTGCAATTAGTAGACACAATTTTAGTTGGGCCTTTTTGTGTGGGCCAAGCAAAATGTATGTATGATTTATGAAACAAATAGCTACTCCAACTTTAAATCGTTTTTGACATAATTTGGATGAGTGCATTTGGAAAATTGATAAGCAAAATCTTTCAATGGAGGACGCATGACAGGAGTCAAATAGGACTAGAGCTACTTGATTCCTTATGGAGTTACGAAAGTCAAAATGTACCTACATCACGATACTTATTTTCCAATTAAAGCAAATATTGAGAAAAAAGACATGAACTTACAGATGAAGAGAAGCAGCAGAGCAAAATGCAGCAACAGGAAACCCATCGCTGAAAGACAATAGTTACAATTAGTATTCATATTACAATGTTACTCATGGATAACTGATCTTTGTCTTACCTGCTGAGATGCACATAACTGACGCCTTTATTTACACCAATATATACAGACTGCTGTGAAAAGGGTCAGCCAATCACAGTATGAGATGGGCAGATGGGCAGGACACCAACTGGACTAGCAACTTCTCAGTCTATGGCCCAGCCCGTCTCCTTGATAAGGACTGTCCAAGCCTCTTGAAATATACTTGTAGTATTTACCTTTTTTAACATTCTAACAGGCAATTGTTAGAAAATATCCATCAAGCTCCTGAACATGGTAAAGAGTTATAATTTTACAAGAGTGATGACTTTCCTTGGTATAGCAACATCAGTCTAGTGAGAGTCTGTGTGGAAAAACTTGAAGAAAAAGTTCAAAATAAAGACAAATGTGTTTTAGCTGATCCAGTAAGAAGATTCTATATCAGATATGAGCACAGTATTGGTTCATTGGATTTTCTGTTCTGGCGTATTCATCTATTTAATAGTTTGATGTTTAGTGTTTACTGGCCGGAAACCTTTCATTTCAAAATAGTTAGATTGACAAAAAGCTCTCAAACTCTCAAATGACTCAAAGAACTAATGAGAGATAACTATTGTTATTTAGGGCTGTACGAGAATAAATTGAATTGAATTAAAGTTGTGGACCAGTCATACAGTTTATGGGAGTGGTGAGTATCCTCCTCGATGTTTTTAGAATACCCATAAAAGCCCCAGTCTTTGTGACTCATTGTCTGAAGTGAGTGATGGACACTTGAAAAATGATTTTTGGATATTGACTCATCCCTCCATCCATCCATTGTCTTCCCCTTAATCCATTTCTGGGTCAGGGGGGTGGCAGTCAGAGCTGTACACAGAGCACCAGGCCCTCACTGATCCTTCTGCAGGTGGTGAGTCCTCAGGAGCAGTGATCTTCTGGCGGGGATTTCAGGCAAAGTGGGGTTAAGTGTCTTGCCCAAGGACACAATGACAGCAGACATCAGTGGGAGTTGTGAAGTAGGTCTAATGGTGTGCACAAACAAACGCACAACCTTCAGGCCCAAAGGCCAATGCTCTACCAACTGAACCACTGTCGCCCGAAACAATACAATAATTATAAACTTCTAAGACCAATGGAGTAGGTTGGTTTCAGATAAAATTAAAAACTTTAAAAACATCCACGTTCTGACCAGGAATCAATCTTCTGCCGCAAAATTGAGAGTTACCAAATTCAGACCACTTGACCAGAAGGATAATTACACTAAAACCTAATGATGACGACGCACAGAGAATACAAGTCATGTTTCTTTACACTGGCTACATGACTTTACCTACAGCTTTTTTACCTACAATTTGTGTCATGAAAGAAGACACCTAAGCAGAGCGCACGGATGAGTGGGTCACATGGCGCTGCTGCTGTTCTGGAAGCGAGGAGGAGGCGTTGTGCATGAATAAACTGTTAAGGATATTTTAGTCCTGCCCACGTAAACCTATAAGCCCTTGTTTTAGACCCAGATCTCTATCTTCAGACCTGGTGAAGCTCTGGCCCTGAACTAATTAAATAATCTCACTCATTGCAGTCATTGCACAAAATGAATCCACAGGTCACTTTGAGTGATGGTTGAATTCTCCTTTCTAGTTTAACAGGTTTCCAGTATTTAGCACTTGCGGAGACCTGAAATTCCAATCTCTCAGGACAAGTCAGACTGCAATGGTGCCCAGGTGTTATTACCTAGATTACCATCTCGCAAAACCGGTGTCATCAGCATTCTCACCATTGGAGTTTTTGCAGAAGCCTGGGGTTGTTGCCAAGACATAGTTAACCCGAGGTACCACATGAAGGACATCTCAATTCTCACTCCTGATGCTGTGCTGTACTGTCAGGCTGATCTGAGTCCTGTCAGCAGAAAGAACTAGTGCTGCAATTAATCGACCATTATTTTTTCAGAGCACGCTGAAGTTTGAGTAGTTTTGCACATAACATTTCCTCCTCAATGAAGTCCATATTTGATACAATTTTATTGTATCAAAACATATACAATCATTGCATTTATCAGCTACGTGATTGTATAGGCCTAGTAAAAAAAAAAAAAAGTATATAATATATGATTATTGTTGATCATTGTTGTCTAATTTCCCCAACAAATTTTGAGATGTTTTAAATGTGGTTCGACTTTCCATTTTATCGATCATCAGTCTCTTGACTAGGGCTTGTCCCATTAATTTTTAAACATGCTGTGGTCCAGCCACATTTAAAGAGACCTAATTAGAATTTAAATGTTATTTGAGAAATCCCTATTTTGTTTTAAAGAATTACACAGAACAGAGACAGCTCTCCAATGAGTGCTCCATTTAAATTCGTTATGACTAAAGTGCAGCCTTTGACACAATTGACCACAATATTTAATGACCACAATAATGTAATAATAGCCTTTTAGGTTTTAGATGAACTTTGCTTCCTCTGGCTCCTTGAGCATTTTAGAATTTACTTTAATATTTTACTGATATTTTTTTTAATTTAGGTCTGGCACTAAGTTACCAAACTTTTAAACCCCTACAAGCCCCCGCTGCCTTAAACTCTTAAGCCTAGCGTACATCGGACTGGCAACTGATTATATCCGTCGCCTCTGAGTTGCTGCCCCGCACACATCGACAATCTGACGAAAACGGGCAACTCTGAGTCGCAGGCCAGTCTCTTGAATAACAGCGCGTACATCGACTGGCCTCAACTACAGTGTGTTTTCTGACATAAACTGTTGCGGGCTCGCAATACACGCAATACACACACGTTGTCGGAGCGGCGCATGGAGCGCGCACATCGGAGCAACTGAGGACAACTAGTTTCCGAAAAGTAGAACACGGGCAACTGACTGAAACTGGAGACCGACTGATCATCTCCAGTTGTAAGAGCGCGCACATCGACCGATTTCGGCAACTGATCATCTCCCACCATCTCCTCTCAGTTGCCAAAAGCCGCCTTGCAACTAGTTGTCCTCAGTTTCTCTGTCGATGTACGCTAGGCTTTAGGAAGGTCCTTGTTGGACTGTTCCAAGGGGGAGGCTCCAGACCAAATGTGACCATATGTGACCTTGGTACAGGCTCCTTGGCTCGAACAACCAGAGGAGCGACATTTCTTTTTGTGTACCCTCTGCCTTATTTTTTTGTTATTTTGTATTATGACTGTTTTATGTTGAGCAGTCCTTTTTAAACACTGTTTTTGAAAACTTATTTATGAAAAAACTCCCAAAAAAGGGAGATGTGAAAAGCACACAAAAAACTCCCTCTTGTTCACGAGCACTTAGCTTTTTATTTTTGAAATGGTGGTCATGCACCATCTTCATGGAATCACACCATATACATATTGTTGTATATTTTAAATATAGACTAAAGGCAGATGTGAATTTGATTGACCCGGAATTGAACTCTTGTCTCTTTCCCAAGAAAAAAGACCTGTGCCCTCAGGGATTAAGTCACAAGGACACAGGATAAGCAGACGGGAATTATAAAAAGATATCGCCTTTGAACAAGGCGAATTATTAACGTTCGATAATAAACATTATCTGCTGACAGAGCAAAAGTCCCTCACCATCAGGCGGAGAGGGAATTCACCAACAGCATTCTAACGCCTCCCAGTGGACAAGGGACGTCAGCACACCCGGAAAGCCCCACCCTTGGACGCGTATGGATGACGTCATCGGAAGTCTCCCGTATATGTGCCCTCGGAGGGTTTTGAGGTCAGACAGGACAGGGGCAACGCACAGGGATAGAGCAGGCATAGAATAGGAGCACTTTTGTTGAATATTCTGTATCTGATTGTAAAGATAATTAAATGCAGATGTTAACCTTGGAGAATCTTTTTGTCTGATTTCTGTATCAAATTGTGGACACGTCAGCCAAAGGGAATTATTGGCTTCATTTGGTGACCCGAGACGTGATTTGATACAGAAAGAAGACGCAAGATGAGCTCAGATATAGACTGGGTCTGTCGGCCGGGAGAATTCTCTCTTCTCTTCTCTCTTCTCTTCGAAAGAGGTAAGCGGATCGTTACTTTTGAAAATCTGCACATTGTTTTAAATGGAAGAGAGAGAGAATTCGGCTCGGCGGACTGCAGCGTGGCCAGACGACCGCCGTGACGGGCGATTCTATCGGACGCGATAGAACAATAGTCAGGTTTAGACGTTTTTGGCCTTGGGGGAAGCATGGGTCCCTCCAAAAAAACAGAACATAGATGATGGATCAGAGCCACAGAGTTTATAAGTGCAGAAGAGGCACACCGTTTAGAGTGCAAAAGAAGCACACCGTTTTAAAGTGCAAAAGAGGCACAAGTGTTTAGAGAAATAGGATTAGAAAATAGGGACAGTTAGGGTCAGAAGTTATAGGATAATAAAAACTCCATATCCCCGGGGGGGGGGGGGGGCGGGGAAAAAGGGTACATTTAAACAGAAAAAAGCCAAGTATTTAAAATGTGGATTCTGATAATAATGATCTGATTAATGAGAAAAGAAGGAGCCACTTGGCTGTAACTATGAGTTTTCATGTGAAGAAATGACAAAAGATCAGTCTGGGAGTTTTTCTCTTGTATTGTGATGTAATGTTTCGATAGTTACAGAGAATCAGAAAGAAAAAAAAAAAAAGGATTCTACTGGAACCCTCGATACATTAATCAGGTAGCAAATAGTAATGTTTTCCATTACTGACGTATTTAAGGATAAAATGTAAAGTGTCGTTTGACGTGAGAAAAACTTTTACCACTGATTAAAACTTTGTCACGAGAAAAACGAGGAAAGTATTTCAGACTCCATGTTTCCTTTGTTCGGGAGGCCCCTCCCCTCCCTCGTTCTGTCCTCTCTCTCTCCCCTTCCTCGCTCTCTCTCTCGCTCTCTCTTTCTCTCTCTCTCTCTCTCTCTGTCTTTCTCTCTCTCGTGAAGAAAGAATTTTTTTGTAGAAAATTACATTTATACACACGATAATGTT